CGTCCCCGACGCCACCTCACCCTCAGTGGACGACCCATCCGCTCCACTGTTCTTCTTCTCCCTTGCACATTTCGTTGCAGTGTCCGTTTTGCTTGCCTTTTGTTGTTGTTTTAATCCGATCGTTTTCTTTGTGTTAGTTTTATTATTGTCCATAATTGATCCCACGAGTGGGGGAGAAATACAGGTCCACCCGGGCAGAGATCCCCCATTACCCGGGCAAGCGTAAGTTTTTAACCCAACCGAGGGGTCCGCAGGTACCTCGGCTTGGAGTGCGCTCGCGACTGAACTTCCCATCAGCCATGCATCCCCTGGCCACGCACCAGAACACGGGATTCGGGGAATTTTTTAGAGAGGTTATCTTCCTCGCGGTCCGGGCGGTTAAGCCAAGACCCTCGCCCCCGATCAGAGCCGCGAGACTTAACCACAGCGCTCTTCTCGGGATTACGATATGCCGACGGTTGACAGGGAGACTACGTCCCCCTGCCTGCTCGGTGGTAGTGTGAGTACACGCCGAGCCCGTCCTCCTTTCTCCACCGCTGTCAGCGGAGAAACTGTGGCCCCTACAGGGCCCCGCCATCAGGTTTTTTACCGAGGTTTCCTCCTCCATGCTCCGAAGAGCGAAGAGCCAGCAGGGCAACCGGCAGACACGCCCACCCTGCTGGACCAGGCCTTGCCCGAGAGCCGATGAACGGCTGCCTCTTCTGCTAGAATATTGGCCGCTGGCGATAATCCTCTCCTCCAAGAGGACAAGGAGGGAACAGTACCACCGCCAGCGTTTCCAGGGTGCACCACGAGGAGGTTTTCTAGCCCAGCACCCCGAGGGCACCCTATACCAACCCGTCTGGCCAGCGTGGTATTGTAGGCCAAAACCTCCTTTTTAAGGAGAGGCCTATGTCCAGCAGTGGACTAGTATAGGCTGTTGATGATGATCGTATATCATATCTTTGCTAAATAACATTGAATTGTTTTCACGATGAATGTCGTCACAAGTTTGACCAAAAGGATTTTACAATTACAACTTACATAAGATATTTACTTGTTCTCTTCTCAAGATGAAAATTAACAGATTAATTAGAATGAATTACTGTTTAGGCAAAGTTTGCCGCCATTACCTACTTTAACTTTATATTTTAAGTGCTAAAAGTTAGAAGGACGGCTATCAAGTTATTCTCTGTTCTCTAAAGCACACTCAGGGCTCAGTGTTGATTCACGTTAATTATCGTTACCCTGTTTTTCTTTTGCATTTACTTACGACAATTTAATTAAATTTTCTGGCCGTTGCATTGGAACGGAAGAAGTTTTAAATACATACCTACATATTGGAATAGATAATTTCCATTAAGACACAGAACAAACGGTCGTTGGGCTCATCACACAGTTACTCGTCCTGGGTAGGAATCGAACCCACGACCTCCGGCTTAGCACCCAATATTCAATATAGTTCGTCAATAATTTATTTATTTATAGGTTCTGCACGGACTGCACGGATGGCGTAGTGGGTAACTATGCTGCAGTGCTGTAGGTCCGATCCCCACCTGGTGTGATCCACAAATTGTTGTTCTGAGTCTGGGTGTTCTTTGTGTCCGTTTCATGTATGTTTGTAAAGTCCCCCGCGACACAGGATTTATTCCTAGTGCGGGAAAAAAAAAACATACAAATGTTGCTTTGTGTGTGCTTTAAAAACTACCAATAAGAACATCCTGGTTTAAAAATTGAATAAAGCACACTTTTTTTTTTGAAAAATGCTTCCGATTGATTTATTTGATAGATAATTTTATGCAATTTATGTTTCAAATAATATATCGGCCAAATGACCGCCGCGGCTCTTTTTGCAGACGGTCACCCGCTCACGCCAATTTTCGATGACGCGGTGCACCATTTCGGCCGATATGTAGGCTATGGCTCGTCGAATGTTGGTTTTTAGGTCACGAATTGTAGCTGGATTATTGTTGTACACTTTAGATTTAACGTAACCCCAAAGAAAATAGTCTAAAGGTGTTAAATCACACGATCTTGGTTGCCAACTGATCGGTCCATTTCTCGAAATTAACGACTCACCAAACTTTATACGCAATAATTCCATGTTCCCTCGAGTAATGTGAGGTGGTGCACCGTCTTGTTGAAAATAAAGGTCGTCTGCATCAATATCATCAAATTCCGGAAAGAAATATTCGGTTAACATCGAGTTATAGCGCTCGCCATTCACAGTAACAGGGTTTCCTTCGTCACTTTCAAAGAAATTTTGGGCAATTTCCAAGCGTTGCTTTAAAGTGAAACGTGACATGATAAAATGGCAAACCTTACTGAACACAAATGTCAAGAGACGTCAAAGATCCATCATAAGACATGGCCGTTATGAGCTGTCAAAACCAGGTCATCCCTATTGGTAGACCCAGTATGTTTCTAAAGTCCCCCGCCATACAGGATATACCTACTTATTCCTAATGCGGGACTTTTTTAATAAAAGAAAAAAGAAAGGTTCGCCTACAATTGTTACACATTTCTTAAAAATAATATATGACATGACAAATTAAGTACGGGTGTAGGTACAATATCAATTGCATACACAACATTTATAGAAAACATTCGGATTTTAGTGTTAACACAGGTTAGATAACATGTATTCATGTTAGAATTTATAAATTGCATTTGTTGTACCTACTGTGACAATTGGTAGTTTAGAGGGAAAGAGAAATATGCACCAGGGACTCTCTGTCCGTATCACAACATTTTAAAATATTCACTATATCAGTCTACCAATGCAAACAACAATAATAAATACAAATACAACAATAATTACCTCACACACGGCAGTCTGATTTCAAACTAGGCAGTGCCTGTGCCATGGCAACCAGACTGCTGATAAACATATGTTTTTATTTATTAATACATCTTTGTTGTACACCGCTACATTATATATTGTACAAACACGGACTGATTTCTACATTCTGGTATTACAATAGGCGGTGTTATCATTCACGGCGATCTCTTACAGACAACATTTACACGGATATTGTTTAATCTGATTTAGGGTTTATAAACATACTACGAGTAAATACGCTTACAATATACACACTACTAACACATATAAATCCATATAAATACTTAATACTTACAAAGGTTATAAAGAATAATACACAAATACCGTGGGAGAGCCATGCTTCGGCACGAATGGGTCGGCTCGACTGGAGTGATACCACGCCCTCACAGAAAACCAGTGTTAAGCAATTCTTTCGTTGCCTTTCACTGAGTGAGTGAAGTTCCGCTGATTCGAGCGGGAGGAACTCCAAAGGTGGCAACGCACTTGTGACTTTTGAGTTGCAGGTGTCCCTGGGCGAAGATAGTTGCTTACCATCAAGTGACCCGTCTGCTCGTTTGCCCCCTTATACCATAAAATATAAATATATGAAATACAAATCGTTTTTAACCTGTGATGTACAGTATTAACAAATAATCAATATCCCTTCAACAGCCCTTACAATGTCAAGTAGTAATTTGTGACTTGTTTTTGAATAATTGCAACGATTTAGCTTTTCGGATTGCTTCGGGTAAGTTGTTTCACAGTCTCACTGCCTGCACCGAGAACGATAGGTACTTATATATTTATAAATACATACTAAAGTGTGACATAAACCAATTAGACACGGCTGCTGCTGTGCTAAGGGGAAATGTCAGTCATGCCTTATTAATCTTATAATGGAGGCTGTGCTTATGAATCGTTCATAAGTATTTTTAGATGTCTTTGTTTGTTAGTGTCGGTAACCTTATTTTATAATATTCAGTTTGGCCAATTTTTTATAGTAAGGGAGTATCCATAAATTACGTGATTTGCTCGTGTCAAGGTAAACAGTAGTCGTTTGTAATCAAGCCATGTGAGCTAATTTCATTTTAAACATTTCTGTGTAAAATTCCGCTCTTCGTAATTATTAAAAACGCTATTTATTGCAATAGACGCAACCCATTTTGTTGAAATTCATAGGAACCTCATTTCATTACTGTAAATTATCAAAATTATCACGTTCCGCTTACCTAGCGATTATTTACCGTCGCGGTTGGGAGTAATCTCCAGTACCTCCTTCTGGCAGCGAGCATAGCGACGCGACTGAAAAAAATGGTATTTTCTGTAAAATCTGACTTGCAGCGATTGACAGACACAGACAGATTGACATTTCCTATTGACAGTGGAGAGATTTCATACCTGAAATCATTCACTGTTAATAGGAAATAATTAATGTCTATAAAGTGGTACCAACGATGTACCGTTTAAAGTAAATATTATAATTATATATCTAGGAACTATGTTAGTAGAAACTATGATTATATGCTTAGACAAGTCACACTTCAGAGCTCTCGTCAAGAGGCACAAAAATAAAACCACGTTGTTTATGGCGCTGCCTGCTAGCGTTTTATGACTTTCAATTTGCATAAACTGGAAATTATTTATAATTATCGTGCTTGGTAAATGTTATTGTCTTATCTAAATTAAAACTATATACTTTAGCGCTGAACAATGTGCCTTACAACAAAAATAAAACTTATCTAATTTTATAAACTCTTTTTAGATTGTAGAATATTTTATAAACTAAAAAGAGTTATATTCTACTCACGTATACATCTGGCACTATTTCAAAGTGGGGACTTTTGGTGGCAGATTGATTGCTGCGGCCACCACGTCGCGATTGAGAAGAGGTGTTTTCCCCTTTTCCCCCGGAAATCCCCTCGGATACCACCTGTCGGTGGCATGTCGGACTCGAACCGACTAAAACCGCACGCCGTCTCGGGTACTAATAGCCGGGGAACCAGGTATACCCTAGAAAGAAGGTGTTTTCCCCTGCGATAGGAACTGATTAGATATCACTTCAAAAGACAAAACTATTAAATTGCCAATAATGCATAAGAACTCAAGTAACGAGCCTAAGCATAAACTTGAATTTATCTCAGTAGCTCTATTGATATCTTTAATGTATGAATGTCTACAATCTAAAACACTAATGTTTCAGGTGGTATGTGCTTCGCTTACAACTCAGACTTGTACTACCGCGATTACTTCCCCGACGTGGACCTAGGATGGTGGCTGTTCGCCGTCACTGTTGTCATCGGATCAATCGGTGTCGTCATTGGAGGAATTATTTCAGACAAGTGAGTCCAAACGTTATTAACGGAGTCTTTTTACTGCAGAAACAAGAAGTGTTCCATCCCTAGTAAGTTTTTCCAGGATACTTCAATCTAAAAAGGAAACCCACAGACGGGCCGCCTTCGTCGTCCATAAGTCTTACTTATCGAAATATTTGTAGGGACTGGATATTTTTTTATCACTTGCTTACCGGTGAAGCAAAACACAGTTAAAAAACCGGCATAGGCACCAAGAGATCTCCTTAAATACTTGAAGGATTGTAAAGAGTACCACTAAATACTTAGCGTGGTAGGTTACGACCTCTGATACTGAACTTATAAGACGTCCATAATTAGAACAGTTTACAAACAAAAATTCCTAGAATGGAACTAAATAGATCATCTTAGAATGAGACCACTTTCTTTTCAATGGATGGAAACAAGTCCTGGTTGGGTGTTCTAAGAATATGCTACTGATAACTAGCGACGGTATTCTTTTCGTCAGCGTCACAGACTGAATGGCTATTTTGGCCTTTTGTATGTAATTGTGTGATTCATGAATCACTGAATTATATACAAAAGTACATGTGGTATGACATCCGAATTCAATAGCTTTTGAATATTTTGACAATATTTTTTTTATTTTTCAGTATAATGTATCTTTTGTGTTATTGCTATGCTATTCTAGATACGTAGAGAAGATGGGCATTCGATCTCGTGTGATGGTGCTGGGGCTGTCTCAGCTCATCGCGACTCTGCCCGCTTTCGGCTCCGTCATCTTCGGACCCCTCTGGGCCATGATCACTCTCGCTATCTCCTACTTTTTTGGTGAGTATATCTGCCTACAGTTTCAATTTTGATATATAAATAAGTATGGATATCAGGAATTTACTAAAAGAAAATAATCTCTAATGAACTAAGATTAAGAGTCATGAAAAGAAACGATGCTACTTCATTACCTACACTTTATTATTAAGTAAAATAGATTCTATGTAATAGGAGACGAAACATTCATCGTTCATTTTTAAATTTACGATTTTGAATTTTTTATTTTGTTTACTTCATGAGCTACTTAGGTTGACTGATTAATTGACTTGATGAAATAATATAAATCCCTTTAAAAAAAAGTTGAACCGACTTTAAACAATACTAACAAAGAGCACTAAAACCCTAGCAGCAATCGCGTTTGATTTGCTGTCATTTTCTGTTGTTTGTCTCCGAAACTCATCATCCGATCAATATGAAATTTAAATGGGACCATTTCCGAATTGATAACCTCATCCTTTTTGAAGTCGGTTAATAAAATTATTTATTCACTCATTCGTTCATTAACTCAAATATCTCGGTAGACGGTAAATTTATATAAGTTTTTTACCTATTTATTTACTTTAACTAGAGAACCTTGGTTCTAGTAACGACCATTAAGATTGAAACTTGGTAATATTTCAATATGTCAGCTAAAAATAATGAACCCAATGTTTAATTTACAGCTGAAATGTGGTTCGGAATCGTTTTCACTATCCTCGTTGAGATAGTACCACTGTCGGTCCGTTCCACCACCATAGGAGTGTTCCTCTTCGTCATGAATAACGTTGGAGGCAATCTACCGATCCTGGTCGACCCAGTCGCTAAAGCAATCGGCTATAGAGAAGCCGTTATGATCTTCTACGCTGGATTCTATGGCATAAGTAAGTCAGGAGCATAAATTTTAATCCAGATACGATTTGTGTTTAGAGAGTTTTAATTAGGAACTAAACTTTTGAGTTGGATGGATAAATAAAATAAATAGCATATTATTTATATGGATTTGACCAGAGTGGTTAACATGAGTTGGTTGGCATTGGTATACTCTGACATAAATGATAATCCTTTGCTGCACATTCAGATTGATGTGTTTTCAAATTACATTTACTAATACAATTAATTAATGTCATTTTTTTTCTTTTACACAACAGGCAGTATATTATTTTTCCTCACCATGTTTGTAATGGATGGTCCCGTGGAAAAGGCCCCAGTTACTGAAGAACAGGAACCAGAGAACAAACGAACTGGCCTAGACAACAGAGCTTTCACACAAGACGAACAAAACCACAGAAGCTCAACCAGAACCTTGCCAATCACAACCAGCGAAAGACTGTAAAAGTTTTCTTTAAATGAATGGTACAAAATAATGAAACATGGTATGAAACAAAAGAACCGAAATTATGACGTTTCAGACGTTTGAAAGAGACAAATACACCGAAAGGGTGGTCACAATTCGTTGTATCGGTGCATTTCATGTTTATACGAATCATTAACATTTTTATGGATGTACAAATTAAAAAAAATATAGGACAATAGACAAAACATGTACCTAATGCAAGTATGATTTAATTACGTTGTAATATTTTCGGTTTTACTTCGTCCAAAGTTACTATTTTTAGTAAGGCAGTATTTTTATTGTTTTTAATTTAAATATTGTATTGACCTTTTATAGCTAACAGTTACCAGAAATCGCCTGGATATCTAGATATTTATTGTTTTCGACCCATTTTACTAGGTATTACAAGGCTGTGACTTAATGGCAAATGTAAGAATATATAATTAAAGGCGTAGAGAATAACATGATGTTATTATTATTAAACACATAATATGCATCTATAGATGAAAAGGTCTAACATCGACAAATATAAATTCATCATCATAACAGCCTTTAATAGTCCACTTCTGGACATAGGCCTCTCCTTAGAAAGGTGGTTTACAATTAAAATGGCGGCAATATCCATTGTGGTATGTCAAATTTTGTAATCAGATATGCAGTGGTTATATTTCAATTATTACAAGGATAGAAAATAATATATAATTAAAAAATATGTTCTTACAGCTTTAAGTAACGAATCAAAACTACAGAATTGCCATTAATAAAAAAAGTAGTCAGGGTCCAGTATTCCATTGTTTTATCTTTGATCTACGCTAAATTTGTAAAGGAAATAAAATAGTAACAAAGCCTACAGATAATTTAACAACTCAAAAGGTATTCAGGTCTAAAAATGTATTGTTGTTGTACCAATAAAGTATGTCTGAATAGTTAAGATTAGAATAAGATATTTTACTATGTAAGTGAGGGTAACTTTGCCTTTCTGTTGACTTCCTTTTATTAATTTATACAAATATGTACAATAGAATAAAATCAATCTCAAATGTTCTCATATGTATTCTTTTTTTAACCTTTATTTAAAGTACCTACCTAAAGTATTAAAATATTGTACAAAGAGATATATTATGTAAGTATTAAAAAATGGTGATTATTTTGCAATAAAAACAGGAAAAAGAAATGTATACAGATTTCATTATCCGAGAATATAAATAAAATAATTCCTATGATAAATTTAGATTCAGCTGATTTTTCGCAATCCATGACCAAATATTGTTTTACATACCTATACAACTTCTTACCTTTTGTACGGGTACGGTTTATTACAAAATTATCAAGTACGAGTATTATAATAAATGTGCGCAGTAAATATACAATAAAAAGACTACAGGAGGTAAAATGGATATCAATCCACCCAACTCAAATAAACAGGAACTTTGATTTAGGTGGACTCTATCAAGCCACGAAAGTAATACAGTCAAGCTGTTTCTTCTTTGAACATTTGTGATTTTTCATATATATATTATTGTGTATAATGGGGAGAACCCATAGGTGGTCCGACATGGGCCCCAGTACTTGGGATTTAGTGAATGCAGACAAAAATGCATTTTTTTTTAAATACTTAATGACGAATTTTTTCGCAATCAAAAGGTAATAAATACATAGGAAATCAGATCTTTTTCAAATAATTAGTATTTAAATAATGATTGTAAATAAAATGTTAAATGTTTTATATACGTTTTATTACTCTCTTAATCCACTAACGTCAAAACTTTACTTTTTTTATTTCCTTTATATTTCAAAAGCTTCTCTTTTCTTCTTGACTTCCAACACTTTGTGTCCTCTTTGGATAAAATGTAGTCGCCGCTTATCGCAACAGCTTTCACTTTATCTATAAGTAAAATTTAAATTTCAATTGGCAATAAAAATATAATGTTAAATGGCAAGTTGAGCTAGCTGTACTAGTGGCTTCGCTGACCCCGGCCTTAACTACTGCACTTTTACTGCGGTGCGGTGGGGTGATTTTGTCGGACTCGAACCGACTAACAACCGCACGCCGTCTCGGGTATGGCCGGGAACTAGGTGTACCCTAGAAAGGAAATCCCTGGTACCCGACGTACCACGGACATCCACGGCGTGTAGATGACCCACTTCTGGGTCACTCATGGGGGGAACCCCCATGTTCCCTTTGTGCTCCCAAAAGGGCGCACCCGTTCGGCAGCGCGTCTCGCGGCCCCTCCGGCCTGAGTATCCCTTACCCTAGGGTAAGGGATACTCAGAGAGGGAGGTAAGGAAAACAGACAGGGTGGCGAACGACCTTCCTGTTTCCCTTGCCTCACAATCCGACACACAATGCCATCTAGTTTCAAACTAAGCAGAGCTTGTACTATGATAGCTAGATTGACTGACTGACTACTTGTATACATTTTTTTTGTAAATACATACATATTTTACATAGAAAACGAATACATTCAAAATGAGAGTTTGTGTGAAGCAGCCAAAACCCCTTGCAATATCAAACTTTTTTGTTCACACGAGGCAGTCTGATCCCAAACTAGGCAGAGCCTGTATTATGGTAACCAGACTGCTGATAAACATACTTACATATTTCAAAATCTGTATCTATACTAATATTATAAAGCTGAAGAGTTTGTTTGTTTGTTTGTTTGTTTGAACGCGCTAATCTCAGGAACTACTGGTCCGATTTGAAAAATTCTTTCAGTGTTAGATAGCCCATTTATCGAGGAAGGCTATAGGTTATATATCATCACGCTAAGACCAATAGGAGCGGAGCACCAATGAATAATGTTTCAAAAACGGAGAAAATTTATTACTATTGAGAGACGCAGACGAAGTTGCGCGGGTCAGCTAGTTAAGAAATATATAAGTATATTTATCAGTAGTATGTACATATTTTAGATAAATTACACCCAGACACAGAACAAATGCTCGTGCTCATCCCACGATATTTGTCCTGGGTGGGAATCGAACCCACGACCTTTTAGCAGTCAGGGTCACTAACCACTTGACCAACACGCTCATCAATTTAAATTGGGAAAATGACAGAAAAATTACGTACAACAGATGTGATGTGTGTGTTGAGACATGTTGAGATCGCAATAAAATAATTGTGTTGTCTATGCTCTACTCTATACTAAATGTTGTCTGTGGTCGCTAATTGCGACGGCCATTATAAAATCTTTTGTTGTGGATTAATAAAGCATTTTCTCAGTCACTTTAGCTTTGATTCTACAAATCCTAACAAAACCAGCGGGTGGTCATAAAAGACACAAACATAAATAAATTGGATTAAACCACTACCTACTGTAACTACATTTTCTGCAAATAAATATTATTATTATTGGGACAAGGGGTGATGATGATGAGGTATACAATTAACGTATGCAAGAGCAACTAGCTAGCAACCTTTGTTGCCATTTGCTCAGCACCCAGGTAGCTCAGATGGTTGTTGGCCATCCCTAATAGTTAACCAGCTCAGGAAAGAGAAGCATTGAAAATTAGGCTGAATTGGGCTATAATGGGCAACTCATTCTTTAACAGACTTTAATAGTCCACTGTTGGACATAGTCCTCGCCTTAGAAAGGATATTTTGATCTACTAGACCACTCTGGCCAGACGGTTTTTCTCTCTTTGCAGTACTGACACCGTCCACACGGACAGGCAACAAGGTCAAATATCTATTTATGATAAATTAAAAAGATTTCTTTGTAATTAATAATATAAAATTAAAAACACCAACCATTTTCATCAATGTTGTTATCATCAGCATCAACTTGCCTTCTCTTCAATTTATTTATCTTTTTTGACTCTGCGTTATGATTTTGTGTGTATGTGTCCTCTGCTTCTTCGGGAGATAGGAAGAATTCAGAATTTTTAAATAGTTTAATTCTGTCTTTAATTTTTCGTTTTCTGAAAGGATATAATATATTTATAATAATATTAGTTTCGAACATCTGATATACAACGCCATCTAGTTTCAAAGTAAGCAGAACTTGGACTATGAAAGTTAGACTATCAGTCAATCTAATTTTCATAAAAAAAAAAGTAAATTTCTTCTGAATACATTCATATTATACATAAAAAATACCTATTCTTTCACATACGAAACCACTGCATCACCGAGTCAATCAGGTCATTTATCTCCTTTAGTATGTCTGATCAGTTTTTGTATTTCAGTCTACCCACATAGACTCATTTACTCATAAGAGTTACAGGATTTTATTTTAGAAATTAATCTATTATTATTACAAAAATGTTGAATATCATCATCAACAGCCTACAATTGTCCACCGCTGGACATAGGCCTCTCCTTAGAAAGGAGGTTTTGGCCTACTATACCACGCTGGCCAGACGGGTTGGTACAGGGTTTGTTTCAAGTTTTCCTTCTTTTTGCAGTGCTATGTTGAATATGTTAATGTAGAATTTATATAAAGTAGTAACAGTTACCAGAACCTATCTATCTCTATTTTTTTAAATATTTGTTTCATCCTCTTTGTTTCATCTAATCTCTGAAATGCTTGAAACAATTTTACACTGTTATTCTTGTGAAAATTGGTACAAGATAAATAGGATTGGATCGGCATAGGGATAACTTTGACTATGTACATTTCAGAAAAATAATTATTAAAATATGCCGTAACATAAAAACTTACTTAATTTTATTGTCTCCATCTACAAACTCAGTATTTTTTTGTATAATAGCAGAAACTTTAGCCCAGATACGTTTCTGCATTACTTCTGGCAATTGTACATCAGTGTAATGTGAAGCTTCTTCTAAAAACCTCTGAGACTTGGGCTTTTCAGCATCTATGCATCATACATAGGAATGAACTATTATTTATAACTGTTATTGACATAGAAAATCTTCATCATAATCATGAACAGCCTTTAGCAGTCCACTACTAGACATAGGCCTCTCCTTAAGAAGGAGGTTTTGGCCTATTATACGTATCTGGCCAAACGGGTTGGTATAGTTTGTTTCAAATTTTCCTTCTCTTTGAGGAGAAAAGAATAAAAAATCTTTTACATCTATAATCGCCCTGAACTATATTTGTACAATCGCGAAAATTACACCACATTTCAGCACTTACAAGTGTTCTTTTTAAACCTCAATACAAACCTTTATTATCATCGTGTATTATTGGAGGATGCTTCAAAGGCACATTTGTCAAGATCAAGAGTCAAGAGTAAATATTACTCGCAATTTACAATTATGTATTCAGACAGAAAGTAGGGTTAATACAAACTATTTAAAACCATATCGAAAAATATAGTCTGTCTATTTAGCAATTTCTACATATTATTCTCCTTGAATTATTAGATGAAGAGATTTTGTGTCACTCCGTTTTTAATCGGATAAAAAACAAAAAATACTACAACTTACTTGTGACTTCGTTGCTAGTTTGGCCCTTTCCATACTTTATTAGTTGCATAAAAGATGCATCTACTACTTCTCTAAACCGTGAAAGATCTTCATCTTCTGATGAATCAGACATTTTAGATTAATTCTTGAATTTTTCGGTATACTTTGTAATCAGTGTAATCACTACACCGACCACAGACACCGACAATCGACATGCCTCTTTGTTTATTTTTGTTTATGAATCTGGTTAATGTTAAGGTTGGAATGTTATCAATTAAATTGAAGGAAGTTAAATTTATTTGTATTTTCTCAATCGAAACTGGATAAAACCATCATTGTTGAATTCATAATTAAAAGAATTTAAAAGAATACATATTTCTTCACAGTTATTTACATTATTGTTATTTTTCTGTTTATTGACCACATTGGCTGTATTCGTAAACGCTTAGGCAAAGTCAAACATTAAGCTGTCATTGATCTCTACAGGGTTGCCAGCCCTACGAGGTTCCTCGTACAAATAGGAGATTTTTGGTCTGCTGTAGGAGGTAAAAGGACACGGTCAGACTCTTACAAATATATTTCAAATTTTAATGTAGATTTTATACTTCATTATGACATTTTGAGATGGTAATGGGTATTTACACTTTGGCTCGGACTTAAGGTTTAAATCTACAGAATAATTGTGACAGATTGCATTAGTCTGATGTGGCAGCCACCGACCACCGTACATTTTCATTAAACTTCAATGAATAATTTGATATGATGAGCAGAAATTTTGAACAAATTTGACATTAAAAATCAGAGGCAATCATAGGGTCTGCTGGCAAAAGGGAAAACTCAAAACAATGGAACTATGTGTCGCTAGTCTAGCGCAATGTCGATGTTATTGGTGACCCGTTAGTTTATCCCCTACCAAAAATCACTCAGCGGGGCTGTAGAAGTAATAAAAAATGCACATACTGGTATTTTTTGTTTCTAAATATCAACATTTTATTTGGTGTGCCCGGCAAGGCCCATACTGGTTCTGTATTTTTTGAAGTAAAATTTCTTTACGCACGCTTGACTTAGGGAGTAAGCTGGTGAATGCGTGACGAGAGCGCTACAAAAAGTGAGATCGGATGAGGCGAACAGAAGATAAGAGGGAGCTATAAATTAGCTAAGACAGAAAGAGAGAGAGTTACGTTTCGTATATTACTGTAGGGGCAAGAGAGAGAGGTGCGAGCACACGTTTTCTTTCTCTGTGTCTCTCATAGCCAAGAGGTTTTACTTCAGTCGTGTAGTCTAAAGCACACTCGTTTTTTTTATTTTTCAGTTAGCAAATGTGTACTAAAAAGAGTTTATGACTCTTTAAATGTTTTATTTTTGGGTTTATAACATTTTGAATACTTGATGAATGTACAAGGTTTGAAAGCCCAAATACAAGATTTTTATTTATGTACAAGAAAAAAAAATACCCTAAGGTTGGCAACCCTGGAAATGTCAAAATAATTGTCAATTCTCTGTCATGGTGATTAAAAGTCAGCTCTTCCGTCAGCTGATAATTTTTTGTATAATTCATAAATTATAGGTTAGAAGCCTATTATTATTATTGTTAAAGATCAAATACACAGAGAGCTTGTATATGGATAATAAGTGACATTATTCTACACAAATCATGACGGAATACACTAGGCCACCCCTTGATCCAAACTTGGTTAAATTTTCCGAAAAGAATGACTACGATTCCTTGGCAAAATACCTTGTTGGTAATAATTTACGTTTTCGTGAAAATATCATAATACCCAGAATTTTGGGACCGGTCATAATTAAAACTAACGAGGAGAAAATGATCGAGTCTACTATTGAGAGCTGTCCTTTTAAGTCTGTGACTAGCTGCATCATTGGTGAGTATCAGCATATTCATGAACATTTTTCAGTGTCTAGTTGTCACAATTGTCAGTTTCGACTGTATTGACGCAATAATTCTTTCAATCCTATGAATTTAATCATGAGACTTCGATAATGTAGTGACCAATTACATACAGATGCAGATAACAGATTACTACTGCCTTTAATGTTATTTGTATATTCTGAATCTGGGTGTTTTTGTGTCCATTTCACTCTACACACACATTTTGTAAAGATAAAGAATATATTCTTAGAGTAGGCGTTAGCTTTTAAAAAAAAAGAAATAAATCCATGCTTTTGCATAGTCCGTGATATGTGGTTCTTGATCAGAAAACCACTTTTTTTTTACCTAATAGTTTTCATTTTCTTTAATATTTTTTTATTATTGTAGAATGGTACAAATTTTACTTATGTTAGTTGTGATTGCCTATAACTGAATTATTGTAGAAATATGTATTGTTTGTTGGTGATCCAAATAAATAAATAAATAAAGGTTTTGGCTCATGTGTATTATGGCTGGCTCACTGCCTGCTGTCCACTCTCCTTGAGAATGTTAACCTCCTCCTGAACTTAAAATTTAGGCAGCTAATACTTTTTTATGTTCTAAGCACCCACTGAGAAATGATTTTTAGAAATTTCCCCGCCAAGAGGTTGCAGTCATGTTCTGCATTGATGGTGTAGTGGTTTAAGGCATGACACTGTGTGATCAACTAATTGTTGTTCTGAGTCTGGGTGTTCTTTGTGTCCGTTTCATGTATGTTTGTAAAGTCCACCGCGACACACCAATTATTCCTAGTGAGAGTTGTTTTTCTAAACAAGGAAAAAAAAATGCAAACAAAAATATAAGGGATGAACAGTTGTATGGACATGCAAAATTATGTATTATTCATCATGATAAAAGATTTTGTTAATTACTTTCAGGTTATGGCCTCGGTGCAGTGGTTGGTCTTTTTACATCATCGTTAATGCCTAACGTTACTGATCCTACGGCACAACAAAACCAAACTGCCCGTGAAATACTGAGGGAAATGAAAAATTCTATGCTAAGTTACGCCAAGAACTTTGCCATACTCGGTGCTGTGTTCTCTGGAGTTGAATGCTGTATTGAGACAGCTCGTGGCCGGTCTGATTGGAAGAATGGAACTTATGCTGGAGGTGTGACAGGTGGACTGATAGGTTTAAGAGGTAAATTTATGCTTTTTATATTATCAACACTTAGAAATAATTATATATATCTGATGCAACTACCAATTGCAACTGGTGTCTAAGAATAGCAGAGATATTTACTAATTTTCATTAATTTTCCTCATTTTGGTAATATTTTTCACTGATCCTTGGTTCCTATTGGCGATAGTATGATGTTATATACCCTATAGCAGTCCTCGATCAATGGGCTATCCAACACTAAAAGAATTTATCAATTGACACCAGTAGCTCATGCATTCAACCAAACAAACAATCTCTTCAGTTTTATAATATTAGTATAATAATAAATAAAAAACATGAATAAATTTTTTATTCATGATTTTTACATCGCAATCAGTTAGTACAAAACACTTTCACTGCCTTAATACCTAAGAGACAAAGTAGTGCATTTATGTATGTGTAGTTATACTCACATGGGTGACCGTTTATCTTTAATAAATATGATTATCACTCATTAAATAACTAATACTAACTATTTATAGACAAACATTAACCAAACATCATTATAATATGGTGATGAGCATCGTATTTATTTATATATTTATATTTCGTATATTAGTGTATAAATCCGTGTGGTGACGGATTAAGAATACAGAGTGTCACCACCTCTATTCATCCCGTGGGTGTCGTAAGAAACGAATAAGGGAGCAGACTGCCCAGAACCACAGCACGGCCAGGCACTTGTGACTCCTTCTGTTTCTTTGCTCCCCTTTCCATCAAAATATAGTTACTTATTATTTTATTGTTCCATTTTATGTTGCAGGTGGCTTGAGAGCCGGCTTATTCGGTGCAGCAGGTTTCGCAGCATTCTCCACAGTGATAGACTATTATATGCATCAACGCAATTCATAATTTTCATACAAAATAGATTATAATTTATACAATAAATGTAATAGACTTTAAAACGGGTATTTTCGTTTTCACCAGACTTTATATAATTTATTTGTCATTATGAAATATATGGTTCTCGTGGCTAAGTAGTAACCGAGTAAGTTAAGACATTCCAACGTTAAGCAATCCTAGGCAGGTCGGTGAATGGATGGGTGACCATTCGTAACATAATCAGACCCCCGTGCTTTCCTTTCTAAATATATCCATATTCTTGTGATATAAGGTCCCTATGAAAGAACTGAAAGCCGGCCGAGTGCTTGTCGGCCTTTGCGCTGTAGGATTCCGTTGCTTGTTACTTGCCATATTAAACGTGTCAATGACACTGGCTTAGCCACCATCATATAATATGCATGTATAATATACCTTCCTCTTGAATCACTCTAATGGTGAAAACCGCATTAACATACGTTGCTTAGTATAAACATCTTGGCAAGTGCGTGTATACCAAAAAAAAGTGTCGGAAAAAAGTCTTGTTACACATTTTTCGGTCTAGCTCCCATCCGCTCAGAGCGTGTAAACGCGCGATAAGGAACTTCGTTCCAAAAACGTTGTTACTAAATTTTCAAAACTACCCTTAAAAAGAGATGCTGGTTAGTATGGGCAACTATATTTTTTTAACTTATCGATTTCAAACTCAGTACAATTTTTTTTTTTTTATCAAATAAAAATAGTCATTTTTTTACTTTTTAAAACGTAAGTGTTTGTTACTCAATCACGCCAAAACTGCTTTCCAGATGTGGACGAGATTTGACACATAGATTATATTCTAGAATAGCACAAAGGCTACTATTTATCCCGGTCATATTAATTCACATTTACGCGAAGCCGTGGGCAAAAGCTAGTTATAGATAAATACTCACCCAGTCACAGAACACCTCATCACATAATTATTTGTCATGGGTGGGAAAACAACCTAAGAACTCCTGCTTAGCAATCTGGGTCACTAACTTCTAGACCAAAAGGCCAAATTAAGTGAACGCGAAGGTTTAAAAATTAGTTAAAAAAATTATATAGAATAAGTTTAAGAATTTATATATATATAGAGTTATAGAGATATATATATAGAGTTTAAGAATTTATATATAATAAAATTTATATAGATGACACAAATGCAAGCACATTAAGAATACTCATATCATGATTAATTATAAATGCGGTTTTTACCCTTATTATCGGCACGAATTCTAATCTACCTTAAAAATGTAAGAATCCGTGAAATAAGAACTCCTAGCTTAAATGAGGGTTTTCTGAAATGTTCCATGTGAGATGGCAGCACTGTAGCGTCAGGTCCAACCTGTCAAAACACATACACGATTTGTATTTTTCTATCATTTTTTTGGTTTATTCATTCTTAAAAACGTTACAAAAGGAATATTGTTTTCTAAAAAACAATCAAATTGTGGAAACAGATACTAGTAGATTATGTTACCTTTCAATGAGCTTTTCTATGGTACTAAATACCAGTGACTTTTGATCCCAGACTGTAAGAATCCGTGAAATAAATAGTAATTGCTTAAATTACTTATAATACCAGAAAACCTTTTGAGTGTTCACGAGTCGGCCGCCGTATATTTAACTGACTTGAACTGGCTAGAGCACATGCCATTTTACCTCGTGCCACAATTAATCAAAAGTAGATAGTATTTTAGATACTCATTAAAACACATTGTAACAATTCACACGCAGCGTGTGCACTAACTGTTACTGTGATAATCTTACTTTTGTGACACGCTAATAGTACTATGAATACATTTAAAAAATTAAATGGTTTTAATTTAAATTTATGATACAGATTAATCTTTTCCAAGATATTGGAATCCAACATGTTTGTTGGCTTGTTTACGCAAAACCATTTTATGAAGGGATACTGGAACGCCAACTTAACCAAAAAGACTCGTATGCAGATTTAACACTATAGAAAAGAATGTCGAGTTTTCCGTTTACAAAAATCAACAAAGCAAAGCAACGGACGAACCTGACCGAAGTTAACGTTTGTGGCTTGATTGATTTTATATAATATTAACGAAAATGTGTCTTACTGTGTAACTTTTATACCTATTTGTAATAAGAAAGTAGTGTTACTAAGTTAATAACGTATCTATTTACAAAGTGCGACTTACTAATTATCTAAAATGAAAGATCCTTTTGTAAAGGATTCGGTTATCGATTCGCCGACACGAGATAGTCTGAGAAATGTGGATGGTTGTTACAACAAAAACATATTCAAGACTAATTCGTTTGCTAATTCACGTCGTGCATTACAATCTGGGGCTGATAAAATCACTAGAACGCTACGAAGTGTAAGAAACACATTCGGAAATTTGTCTCAGGTATTCATCGTTACTTATTTCCTTGTCGTATTCTAATTCATAGTATTATTTAAACACTATTAACAAAATAGCGGGTTTTAATTACTAAATCTCGAGTAATTTAAGCAATGATAAGTAAAGTTTTAAATTAATACCATGGCAACGGCAAGTCATCTTGGAACGCACAGTTACATTGCGGGGTGTCCATGGGTTTTGACGGTAGTCACTTACCATCAGATGATCCCGTCTGGCCATTTGGTACTGTAAAGAAATCATGAAAACTAAAACCTACATCCTTCCACCTCCTCCGAGCCAAATTAGGTTGTGGTCGGCTTTTAAGTCTACTACGATAGGGCTGAAATATTTTACGCGGAACGATTGCCATCAGATCTCCACAATCCAGTACTAGGCGATATCTATGTTCTGTAGAAATACAGTTGTTGGATTTTTTAGGACTCCAATGGCAATCAACAACATGGCAATCGCTACTAGTACGATTGCCATGTTGTTCATATGGCAACCGGGGCCGACGGCTTAGCATGCTCTAAAACCTTTATAACTATGTTAAAAACTACTCCTTCATTTTATATCATCATCATCATTGTCCTGCCTTGGTACCTACTTTATTTAGTGTAGTGTGATTGTGAGTGTAACATTGCAAATAGTTTTGGCTAGTTTCCTTTATTTTATGGTCGGCCTCCTAGCTGATATCAACCCTCCGTGATAATATAATCAGACTCATAAAGGACAAAGGAAGAAAAAAAATTGGGGTGATGGAAGTAATAAAGTTGGGTTGGGAAGATGGGTTCAACAAGTGGTGAAGTAAACAGAACTGAGAATAGAATAGTTTGAAAAGGTTGGGATTGTGTACCATTATGTCACTTCTGTCATTAGGAAGCCCACAGGGATAATAAACTTTACTTTTAAACTCATTTCATTCAAATATTTTTGATATTTTAAATTATCTGACGGTTAAGTAATAATTTTTTAAATAAAAGTAGGGTAAAAAAACTACTTTGGTAACTTAACATTACAAGAAAATTACAAATTGCCTTTCACTGAGTGAGTGAGGTTACCGGAGCCCAAATCCCCCGACTCGAGCGGGAGGGACTCAAGTGCGGCAACGCACTTGTGACTTTTGAGATGCAGGTGTCCATGGGCGGCGGTGTTTGGTGACCCGCTCGTTTGCCCCCCTTATACCATAAAAAAAAAATTGTAGGTATTATTGAGATTAACACCAGAGTTACACATGTAATATGTTTAAAATTTGATAATTATGAACTGCACAGAGGACTTAGTGGTTTAGGCGGCCACCTCGCCGCTTTCAAATGCACTGAATATCGTGGGTTCAATCCCCACATGGCACAAAATTTGTGTAAACCAGAAATTATTGTTCTAAGTCTGGTCTTTGTCCATTTCATGTATCTTAGTAAAGGCCATTGCAATACAGGATATATTTTTAGTGTAGGAGTTGTCTTTTAAAGAAAGACAAAGAAACAATCTACCTCAATGCTTTCAAAGGATTTAATATCTTCACATTACAGCATTTCAGGCTGGGAGGTAGGCGTCGTCACCGGCTAGCTGAACCTGTTTCCCCTTGCCGAACTCCATCTACTCCAGTGATGAAGAAAAAACAGGTATATAAGGTTGTGCTTTTTTTTTATTACAACGTATATGGCTAAATAGTGGGCCGAAAAGGCATGGCAGAGACTATGATTATTCTCCTGTTCATTAGAAAACGTAATGGCGCCGAAGAGAGCAGCAGATGGAGTTATATGTCGCCCCTAGCAGACGGAGGCACAATTTGTTCCTCCACTCACCGCAAATGACAGTGGGGTTGCTTTCCTCAACAGGCAGTGAAGTCTGTCGGAGAAAGGAAATAAATCCCCAACAAACTTGGCCATGTTGCTGTACAAAATGCAACAGACATGACATAAGTGTTAGCAAGTAAATGCCCTGATTACTAACCTATTATTAAATTCTACTTTTAGCTATTGGGCAGAAGTCCTACAAAGCTGTATAGTCCATTTGGCATAGAGACACCCCATAGCCGTGACTTCAGAATGACACCCTACATGCCAGATACACCAGAACATGGGTAAGTTTACTTACTAATTAATTAGAAATAAGTGATGTTCTGATTACAGCATTTTGCAAGTTCAAGTTCAAAAAGAAAAATTTCAATTTTTGTTCATCAAGCGTCATCATTCATCATCAACAACCTAACATCTCATAGGCATCTCTTTAGAAAGGTTTTGGCCTACTAAACCCCACTGGCTATACAGGGTTGGTGTAGGGTTTGGTTCAAGCTTTCTTTCTCTTTGCAGTGCTGTTGCCCTGTATAGTTTGCTCCCTTAATCGCCTCTTACAACACCCACGGGATAAATGGGGGTGGTGACACTCCATATTCTTAGTCTGACTCTCTGTATTCTGACAAAAATTGATCAATTTTTGTCATTCAGCAAGATCAGGAGAGACCTCATACAAAACAGTTCCATTTTCTGTTTGCTTTAAAACAGTGGCGGTTGAGGGACCTATTCAGAATAGGTAAATAAATGGCTTAGATTCACAACTGGATTATCTCGCCTATCAAGGTGACGCTGCTTCAGGGTTCTAGGAATATTTTTTTACGTTAAGGCATTTCAGCCGTAAAACAACGAACACCTATAATAGAAACCAAGTTGGTAATGAACAGAAAGAAAGAGTCCATATATCTTGTCCTCCAGTTTTAACAAAACTGAATTAACGATCAAAGGTACTTATAGTTAAACCGCCGTAAGCTTGGCCCTCCTGATGGTTTAGGGGACGCGGGGCGGGTGATACGCTCGACTATTATTATACATGACACGATGTACTAACTCGATATCTTCAGATTTATTTGTTTGAGATTTAATCTACACACAATGTAATAAAAATCGAATTTATTTCCATGTATTATAATGTCAGTGTATTGTAAGTTTTTATGATTAATTGTAAAATTTAATACTGTATTTTTTTTTTAATAAAATCCCTTTATCTTCATCATGTAAATTATATTTGTTTTCCATTTCTACAAAAATACAGGAATACAAGAACAATGTTTAAAATATACATTTCTATTACAGTCTTTCACCAAAACGGCGTAAAGGTGTCACCCATTCGTGGCACATCCTTGCCAAGAAGAGACCACGAGCACTATTCCATTGAGGATTATATTACACTACGTAACAATTCAACGCACAAACTATGTAACCCACCGCTTACAGTAAGACTAGCTTCTAAGGTATTAATGAACTGGGAAGTACAGAGTTCACTTCGCCTTCTTAATTTATAAAACAAATAGTACTTAAAATAATTGTGTACTGAGTTTTTTAAGTTGTTCACTATTACTTAGTTACTTTAATGCTGCTACAATTGAGGCATTAAAGCAGGCAATGTATAGTTAAATGTTCTTCAGAGTTTATGCACTGGTTACTCTATAGGAGACTGGCTCAGCATAATATCTCAGAGAAGTGTTCAAACCAGAACAAGTTATACAGTGACAGAGTCTGGTTGTCTCCATCGCATTTGAATCTGTTAACCTTGTTCACGGTAACCCTAAGTTCCAGAGTGGTTACCACTCCTCTACTGTTAGATTTGTCCTGTAGTTTCAAAGGTTATGGTTGTACCAGGATTGTCTAAACGCCCAGTCAAGCTTGTTGCACTATAAATATGTGCCACGCCATACTCTGGCCGAAAGGTTTTCTACTAAGGATTACATTTTGAAAAGGACCCATTGGTAACCTGTATTTATGAGGGTATTATTTTTTTAAGCCCTGGTGGCCACATCATTCTTATATTAACTTTCCAACATGAGCAGAACTCAAGGTATACAGATGAGAGTTCCTTGGTGTCAGTATTGTCGATATTTCGTATGCAATTGGTGCTATATTTATAGTGTTTTCTTAATATTTATAATACAATTGTAATTGCTTTGTCTTTGGCTTAAATATTTAAAAAAAAATAAGGCCGTCACAGGACATCTGGTCGATGTGAAACATCGAAATAATTTTATAGAAATATAATTTGTGTGTTTGTAAGTAAAGGAAAAGACGCTTATAGAATGTTACACCGCATTACATGTTGCATATACTGTTACATAGTGTGGCGACGCGTCGCCACGCCAACAGCCGGTCTGACCCACCGCAATGATGCTTTACATCAAAAATGTCTAGTGATAAAAATATGCAGCTTTTAAAAAAAGGTTTCAACACCGAGGAAGATTAGTTATACTTGATATAGATGTTATTTTTAGAATTTCTTGTGAAATTAGCACTTCTCGTAACTATCACAGTCAGTATTGTTTGGCTTTGAAAGTAACTACTTGACATATAATGATCTGATTTATAGTTTGTCAAGGATTATCGGGTTGTGATTATGTAGCCACAGAAGCAATCAGAGTTGTCAACAATGTGGACACTGATATTATGCAGAGTTTATTCAGCATTCAGGATCACTCACCCACAGGCCTGTCAAATGTCGTATTTCATTGATATTGGAACGAAGTTCCTTATCGCGCGTTGTGAAAGGGGGCTAGACGGAAAAAAATCTCACGAAAAGTTGTAACGACACTTTTTATGTCAGTCATTCAGCGCCATCTATCGAATTGATAGGAAATCATTACTTTTCATTTCAGTATTTATTTTGAATTGTCACTTGTGAGTCATTCAGCGCCATCTATCGAATAGATAGGAAATCATTTCTCAAGGAGATTTTACCAATGTATAAATTGTTTTAATTAGAAACCAACTGAAAAATATGTAGGTAATAGCCGCTTTCATAGATGGCGTTGTAATTAAAATCGTGTCGAATCAGTTTTACTCGATCGTCACAACTTCGTTCCTATCGGGTGTCCCACGACACCACACGGCTTTTTTCATAGTGTGTGTAGGGGTCACAATTTATAACAGATGTAAAAATGAAATGATTGATTTCAAACATTGAAATTTTGTCACTTATTCACTTATTGTGTACACTAAATTCTTTATATACTGTTCACTTTTCTAGCAAAACATTGTATACTTATAAAAACTTATTTCTAATGCGTTATTTGTTAAATTTGTAACCATCTTTTTTGAAGTTATGCAAAATTGTATCACAATAAGTATTATTGCATATCCAGTATTATAAAAGCCAAATTGTATTAGCTTGAGTACAAATTGTATTAGTATTACCCGGACAAGTTAAATTGCACATCATGTTAGGTAAGAAGTGTTAGATAGAATCAATGTGGATGGTTACATTTGATGATTTTTTAAGTTTTGATAAATATCGAAATAATTAAAAATCATTTTAAATGTAAGTATGTAGGGTAGATAGATTAATCCAACTATCAACATAAACTCAAAGTGAACTTGTTCATAGAAAAACCCGTCCTAATATTAGCATTTAGCTGAGCTGGAGGGTCTGACAAGAATGCTAGCAATCTGTGACTATTATAGTCCATTTGCCGGAAAATAGTGGAAATAGTGCCGCATAGTCGTCGTCGTCGTCGTCGTACGAAACCCAGAAACCAGACAGCCAATTCTCGTAATAAAAGTTCGGTCTCAATTCAGTTCCGATTAACTTTCGATCTCACAACTGTCATAAAAGTTGTTTTCGTAGTAAAGTATTAAACATCCAACGTTGACTGTAATATGATTATAACGTATTGTAACCGAAAATTAAATCAGTTATCTGCTAGTCTCAGTAGTACTATTTTACTACAAAAATACCTGTAATGACAGTTGTGAGATCGAAAGTTGATCGGCACTAAATTGAGACCGAACTTTTATAACGAGAATTGGCCTTTGTTTGGTCAGGAGGCGGGGCTTAATCCATGCGTCACTATTTTCTTAACGCGAATGGACAAATAATGATTTCTAAAAAAACATGGTTATTGTTCATACATTTAACGACTTGTGCATATAATTGTCTAAGTATGGATATAAATCGGAACTTGATTGGTGTCAGTTCTCGACATGGTGATAGACCTGGACCTGTTTAGCGTGGCTATTGGTAGTACAAACCTTGTAAAATAATTTGAAGATGTGTAACAATATGTATAACGAACCGAAATTGCTAATTGCCAAAAAAAAATTAACAATATGTATAACGAACCGAAATTGCTAGATGCCATAAAAATATCTGTTTGCAACATCTGTAAAAGTATAAGATACCGGATGTTACATTGTGTTTGCATTGATAAGAAATAGAAAACAATGTTAACAAGAAAATAAGATAATAACAATTTTTGAAACAGATTGTATGTCGTGTCGAAATTTAAGGTCCATTGGTGCAAAACTTTTTGAAGCATACACAACCTAAGTTAACAGTTAAGTAATGTAAACATGATTTGTATGGTTAATCATGGAAATTGGTGCATAATCATTATGTGGTACTTTAACTTGTCTAGGACATAACCTATTTATAAGATTTTTTACACTTAAAAACCTTACGCTTCGCTGTGACAATATCGTAGTCGGCTAAATTTGTATCTAGGCTAAGATGTGATAATTATTTTTTGAAAATTATGTTTATTTTCAAACAAAGGCGGCTAATAGTCAACGTCATAGTATCTGTTGTATACACTAGAAAACACTTATTCGGGAAGCGAAGAATCTCAGAGAGGTGATTATAAATATGTATCAATCAATTAATGATCAGATATCATCATCATCAGCCTATCGCAGTCCACTGCTGGACATAGGCCTCTCCCATTGCACGCCACTTAAATCGATTTTGGGCTTCTCTCTTTCACCTCTCACAAATAACATTCTACAACGACGCCTTTCTGGGAAATCCTTTGCTTCCCGAATAAGTGAATGCAGACTCAACAAAGGATCAGATATATGACCATAATATTCCTTTGCCGTGTAGTTCCCACCTTCAATTAGGATATTTCGGCTGTCGAAATTTAAATAATATTAAAGATCCATCATAGGTTAAAAAAAACATTTTAATAATTCTAAAATCTCTAAATAAATAATAATTGTTGATGAATAGAAAAAATAATAGTTTAAAAAATTTTATAGTTTAAAAATTTTTGACTAATTATTTTTAGTGTGCAAGCAAATACAATGGCGTTGACTGTAATTTTTAAAGACTGATTGTCTCATAATTCATATCATTATAATTTTTAGTTTTATATCGAGGCTCAATGTAATCTTGATTACTCTAGTATTTTCTTTCATTTAAATGTATTTTAATTTTCCATGCATTGCTATGATGCTGTCATTTAATTATATTTGATTTTTTGAAAATATGTATTGTGTTTTATTACTAAAGAAAAAGATACCTAGCTCACTACTGCTGTTCAGTTTTAAGCTGAATTATTTATAGGTTTTTCGCAATAGAAAAAATTCAGTAGTCAATAAAAATATCATTTAGTTTGAGAAATTCCAAAATTTAATTGAGACGTAGGGACATTGTGATAAAATAAAAAACAGAATATAATAATTTGTTTTTATTATCAAATCTATGGTAGATCTTAGTGTGTTTACACTATGATTCAATTAAGAGATTTTTTCTTTAGATTTTTAATTCAATAACAACATATATGTACACTTAGCTGATAGTGTACTTTAAAATATAAAAAGTTAACAAATCTCGACAACAAGTTTTTGGTCAAGATTGACTCGATATTAGCTTCGACTTACAACACTAATTAACCGAAACGGTGTTACCAGACTTAAAAATATATTACGTTATATTTGCGCCACACATTTGCGATAAGGTGACAATCTACAATTTTTAATACAATACAAACATGGAGGGTACAAGTTAAGGGCACCTACTCGTATTAGGTGCAAAACGATTAAATATCTTGTTGATATTTTCTGAATCAGAAAAGACCGCGAAGTCTAAAATATGGTCTAACTGCCAATACATACTTCTGACTGCCACTCATGCACTGTGATGGATACCTGTAGCCTTTTGTATGCGCTGCCGCACCGTTTATTTGATCCCCAAGAAACTTAGCATTCCCAGATGCCAGAAAAAAGTACTATTCCCGAGGTAGATATTTGTTTGTAATATTGAATTTACAAAATATGTTTTTTTTTCTTGAGGAAAGTGGCTGACAGCGGATGGATACGGACTGCCCAAGACCGAGATAGATGGCGCTCCTTGGAGGAGGCCTTCGTTCAGCAGTGGACGGCGATACACTTATCATGATCGAATTTTTGCCCGTCAAACATCTCACATAAGTCCCTTCTCGCAAATGAGTTACGTAAAATGGCTTTTCACCTCCCTTACTGTTTGTTGAATACAATAAAAGATCAATTTCTTACTCACGCTTTAAAATGTGTCCATGTAGTAACAAATACTAAACATTAACAAGTTCTTTTGTGAATACAGGATATTTTTAAGAAAAGATGAATTTATAAAAGATAAACACGTACTGTAACTTGTTTGTTGATTTAAAAGTTTATTTTTAGTCGCATACACTTTGTACTCTGTTCTCAATATAAAAAAATATGTAGTTTATCTCCTATATTATATTAAACATACACTATGCAGTTGAAATAAGTCAATATCTAACAAACAACAATATTTAAATGTCAATATTAAGTTTGTACTCTTTCACGCGTCACGTCAATAGGTACGTTGACAATTTTCCAAATTACTTTTATTTTAGACCTTTGTTTTCTTCAAACGTTGTCTCCATACAATAAAGAACGTGTAAAGAAAAGCTTAATCAACGAAAAAATCAAAATCTTTTAAAATTATCATTCACACTGACAGCTTTCAGCTTGTTTATCGGTTAATGACGTATTGGATAATGTTGGCGTTTGTAGTGACGTGACAATAGTTCCCCATCTTTTTAGTCAGCTTCAAATAAGTATATTTATTCCAAAAAATATGATTGTAGGCTTCAAATCAAAATGACGTAACAGTCAATTAATAACATCATTTAAGTGTCAACATACCTACTGATTATCATATAAAATTGTATGTACTTTTACAAAATGAATCAAAGCACCTTTTGCTTTCGCGTGTCATGTTAAATTTTAAAATGATAATGAATGAATGAAATTGAATGATATAATCAACTGAATAGTTCACATTCATGTAACAATGTTTGTCGGTGGACCTCTTATCACTTTAGAAAATATAACAATTCTTATAATTACGTATTTACATCAACATTAGGTATCAATATTACTTATAACGAGTTATGGTAGAGAGTTAAACAAAGTTAATTCCTGTTTTTTAGTAACTAATAGAAGATTCCAGAAGGTGTCTACTATTCTACTTTCCATTTTTATCAGATTTATTCTATGACAAAATGAGTTACACTGCACAGCAATGTACAAGAAATTATTCAATGACTAAAATTAGGAAACGCAAAGAAACGGCAAGTATATACACCTACTTATGGTTTATACACACATTAGGTTTGTACACCTCTATGTGTATACATACCTATTTGTGGTATCGGATGTGGTCTATAATCAGAAGTCAGATCAAATATCAGCTAACAATCACAGTCTTTTAGTTAAAAAATAGTATATATATTTGTTTATTTACATACACTACTCACAAAAATTAGGTGAACAAAACAAATCCAAATTTTTATAAATAAACGTAGAGGATCAAAAAAAAAAGATAATTAAAGCCAAATGATTAGCCAAAATAGATTGTGGTTAGCGACCCTGGCGGCTAAGCCAGAGGTCGTGGGTTCGATTCCCGTTCAAGTAAAACATGTGTGCATGAACATGTTTGATTTGGTCTGGGTTTTTGGTCTACGCATAGAATGTATGTATTTACAAATAAATATATATATATATATATATTTGTAAATTTTGTATTTTTATCAGTTGTCTAGTACCTATAGTTCTGCTTAGTTTGGGACTAGAAGGCGTTGTGTGAATGTGGTAGAATATTATTATTTGTTCTGTGTCTGGGTGTAATATTTATTTACAAAATGTATATATTTAGTAATACCGTGTGGTATAGGATTAAAAATACGGAGTCACCTGTTACGACACCCACAGGATAAATAAACCCTTATTTAATAAGCCCACTAAGGTAGCAAACTCTGCATGATACAAAGGAACAGCTTTTACTAGTACATATTTAAAGTTGTTGATGATGATGATTTAGCAATATACAAGTGTGTTTATCAGCGACTGCTAATAATCATACTTATATATATTTTTTAAATGTATTTAAAATATTTTAACAGACTTGGTTACCATAGTACAGGCTCCACCTAGTTAGGGATCAGACGGCCGTGTGTGAGATGTGCCAATATATTATTATTATCTAACCAGTATGATTAACTGACAAAAAATATTCCAAAGCTAGTGAAGCAAGAAAAATAATAAAAACAATTCAAAATTTTCTTTAGCTCTGTTTCCTCGGATTTCTTTAGAATCCTTAAAAACCAAAAATTCTAGATCGAGATTCTAGATCTCGGAGCCCCAGTATTTCTATATGACCAATTTTTACTCGTTCGTGGAATTTGGAGAACGGAGACGGAGAAAAGAGGAATTTGGACTTTTTTGTTCATTTAATTTTTGTAACTAGGATATAATATTAGGCGAAACTTATACCTGCGAGCCAAGTCTACAATAAACGAAGATGCAGCTATTCTTTATCTTCTCCTGAAAAGAAAAAATGATTATATTATTATTATCACTATTACTTATTGTACTTAACAGCAGTGCAAAGAGAAGGAAAAGTACACGTAAAGGCTGTTGATGAAGGTACTATATGTAAAACATATTAAGCTATTTAAAAATGCCTGCACCTTGTTTAGAGATGGTCAGAGCATGTTGTGTGTACATGGCACCATTTATTTACAACACATTACCTGAAAACTTTGTGAACTTACCATCCCATAAATTTTGTGTGGGGCAAAATTTTAAAGGGTTTTTCTGAGAGGAAAAATACCCTAAGTTATTACTTATGTAGACAGCTACCTGGTAGTAAAATATTATCGAAATCGGTCCAGCCGTTTAGAAGATTATCCGAACAAACAGCCAGACAGCCAAAATAAATTAAAATAGTTTTTAGGCATAGGTATCGTGCAAATAACCGTGTGAACATGAAAAAACCTATTATTTTGACATTACAAACAGACACTTCAATTTTATTTATATCTATAGATAATGCAGTATTTACGTAAGTACTTCTGCATATAATAGTAATTTTTTTATCAATGTTCGATGTAACAATTAATAAAATCGTCTAAAATACATAATACTACGTTTTATATATAACTAAAATCTAATTACTAGATAATATTGTAAATAACAATCTTACTTAAGGTAGCTATTTACAGCAGATGTGTTAGAAATCTTGTCCAGGAGGTGGATATGCCTGAAAAAAGTACAAAATGTATGAGTGTTCTTTTTGTTTTAGACCAATTCACAGAGCACATTTGTAATGTAAGACTAGGTCATGGTAGAGATAAGACTTAATCGTGGTCCTTCGAGCCAACATACAATAGCAAATTTTATAAATGAAAATACAGGACACGTCAAGTGAGTTTAAAAGCTAGGTTATTGCTTCTTTGGAGAATCGTCAAAGCTCAATTAGTCAAAAAAGCTTAATCAACGTGCTTAAAAATACTTGATGTCACGATTAAGGATTCGTTCATCTAAATGAGCATTAACAGTGGAACGCACCTCTTCTGATCCTGTTGCCTGAGCGACTTTTTTACCTTCCTAATTTTTAAATTAAAAATAATCTATACTAATATTATAAAGCTGAGGAGTTTGTTTGTTTGTTTGAACGCGCTATTCTCAGGAACTACTGGTCCGATTTGAAAAATTCTTTCAGTGTTAGATAGCTCATTTATCGAGGAAGGCTATAGGCTATATATCATCACGCTAAGACCAATAGGAGCGGAGCACCAATGAAGAATGTTTCAAAAACGGAGAAAATTTATTACTATTGAGAGACGCAGACGAAGTTGCGCGGGTCAGCTAGTCAAAAATAATCATGGATGCGTTAGTCGCTTCTATGATTGTTTAGCGGCCTAAATCCCCGCAACCGGCTGCAAGTTGAAAGTCAAGTTTCCGGGTAGATTACTGGCACCTTCCTGTTAAATAACACGGTACTTATCAAGTAATACATACTATAGGGCTCCTTCCAAGCGTGACTTGTCGGTGATTAAACTGTCGTTTCCTAATATGTCGGCCGGGCATTCCCGAAAACCGCATAAATGGCGATGTTTGCCTAGGTGAAAAGAAATTATTTTTGGCGATTTTCTGGAGTATGCTCCTATTTTTCCATTTATTATGGGATAGTGTTTTTTCTTCATTAGACGAGCTAGGACTAATAACAGCTGTTTGGGAGGTTGGAGCTGATCTGAAGCCCAGGATTGTTCTCGTTATTTTAGGTGTCACATGGTCCTCTGTCATTTTGTTCTGTTGAGAAAAAAAAAGGTTTTAGCTAACCTCATTCACCGTTAAAAGTTACTTAATCAGATGCTCCTAATATGGATTAGATATTATACTCGTTAGGATGGGTTAATATTATTGGACATTCTTAAGTATATTTTGCAAAGTATTTAACCTCGTTCTGCATAGGGCATAATTACTGTAAGATAAATGTTTATGTTATTCTGTTACGGATTATTTCCACCTAAGTTAAGAAATCATTCTTATTCGAGACGAAAGCTAACAGCTAGCTCTACGAGTCCGAACATTCCAAGTGTATTTTTTTTCTCCCCCTGGATTACGCTGTAAAGAATTAATCTAACAAAGACTTTTTATTCACTTTTTTATCACACTTGAGACAGCCACAGTTCGATAAAGCCTCATCCAAAAACACAATAATGTCAGGCACGCTGCTTTCATACACTTTTGCATAACCATTTTACTATTTCATATCATTTCTTTCCATAAGAACCTTAAGAAGAAAATATGAACAATGTGTTAATGATGATCACATATTCATAGACTGACCTGGTTAAGATTGATTAAACTAAAACTATACTCAAATAATCATTACTCGTGGAATTCTTAGAGCATACCCTCCAATCGACCCATTTATCTCGATACAGAGAATGAATTTAGCCTGTTTCACTGCAGCATACTACATCACCGATAGATCTGGTGAAATCACGGGTGGACGATCCCTTCACACACCCATTCGGCACGAATGGGCCGGCTCGACCAGTGATACCACGGCCTCACAGAAAACCGGTGTTGTGCAATTCTTTCGTTGCCTTTCACTGAGTGAGTGAGGTTACCGGAGCCCGAATCCCCACTCCCGCTGACTCGAGCGGGAGGGACTCCAAGGGCAACAACGCACTTGTGACTTTTGAGTTGCAGGTGTCCATGGGCGGCGGTAGTTGCTTACCATCAGGCGACCCGTCTGCTCGTTTGCCCAGTTATACCATAAAAAAAACTAAAATTAACATGTCGATTGATTTGTAAATGATCACTAATTCGGTTTAAATAATAGAAGCGAGGTATTGCTAAATTGAGAAATAGTTGAATAACAACTAAACATTTAAAAGTTTCAAGAAAGAGTCAAATAGTGTTCAAACTTACCATGTTGTCCAGATGAGTAGTGTCTGGAGATGGCGGAAGTGGTACGCATTCTCTCATCTCTGGCCGGACATTCAGTGGTTGGTCTACTGCCTGGATTTTCTGGGGCTGAGCAACTGGTAGGAGCAACAGTGGGTGGTCCACCGATTGAGGCATCACTGGCTGATTGATCGAAACCGGACGCTGTTCCTTAACTTTACTAACCGACTTCTCAAAATTAATCTCACCCTTGACCAAAGCGTATTCGTCAAAAATGTCCTGTCTCGGTGAAATTAAGTTCTCGAAATGTACTATCATTGAATTAAGGAAAATCTCCGGTTTGGTCAAACGCATTATTTGTATCAAAGCCCTAACAACTGTCTCGTCGAACGGCAAAATACACACGCGCTCTAAAATTTGTTCAGCGACCTCGAGCCCGAACGTCCTATCGTTATTCACCATAAAATATGTGAGACTCAAAAACACTGGCTTAAATCGGGAAAAGTTCTGTGTACTCGTCATAATTTGCATGAAAACTTCGCACAGTAGCGAATCACCAACACGGAGCTTCAGTATATCCTCGCAAACACTTAAATCGATTTCATTCAAATAGAGAAGTGCGACTTCAACAGCTGTTACCTTCAAAGTTTCATCTATTTGTAAGCCCTTAACGCCTTTCATAAGGAAATCGTACGCAATTTCCACAACAACTCTTGTGAGTTTCCGTTTTACACATTCAAATAAGACACACATGCCAAACCTACGCATTATGTGTTGGTTCTTTCTAATTAACATATATTCTTTCAGTAGTATTTCATTACTTAAGATAGACAGCTTTTTGCTAACTACTTTTTCATCGGGTATGTCATGCGAATATCGACACGGTTTGCCATACAGTGAAGACGAGCATCTGTGAATCAAATTGAAGAAACAGTATCCTCTAAATATCACATTATGTTTCTTGGGCTTTAGTGTATACAAATTTGCAATTAAACAGGGACTGTTTACATTATAAGGTGAGTTTACTTGGATAGCACTAGATTTTGGAATAACTTCTTGGTTGCTTTCGACACTGTCTGTGAGGCTCTCAGACTCTTTATATTCAGAAGGGAGATCGTTTGATTCTTTATATATAGAAGTGGAGTCAGCATTTTGTTTTTCACAGACAGTTTTGACAATCACATTTTTAGCATGATCTGAAATTTTTGTCGGACGGTATGAATAATTTGGTGGAGATATCAAGTGGTTTTGTATAGGTTTAGGTATGTATTCCTCGATTTGTTTTTCGGCAGGAGTAGACATGATGGATGCATTCATTTTTGAAGATTCTATGCCAGTGATGCTTTCGGCAAACAGTGATAGGGCGTCGTCATCATCATGAGCACTTTGAGTTAACTTATTTGCGTATGCATCTGCTGTGAAATCTTCATTTTCAGATGCACTATCATTGAATTCGGATACTCGGCGTACTTTACTACTGACACCACAACCACTTGTGCTGGGTTTTATAAATGCTTCTTCCGGATAACTTTCATCTATGTTACTCGTAATTTGGTCAGTCTCAACTCTTGCTTTGACGCTCGTAACATTTCTGTCGCTTCTCTTTGGGCTATCTTTATCCAGCCATCTTGTATTTTCACACGGTTGGTTAATTTTAAACAGTTTCTTTGCTACAGCGTCGCATTTAGTATTGTTCCCTTTTACGACGTCACCTTCAGCTGTGTTATTGTTGACTAGCTTAAAAACAACTGTTTTAGGTTCATCGTGATTACGTTCCGTTTTGTTCAATTCTGTTGCATTACTTTCAATAGTTTTTGTTTGAAGTTTTTTCCTTTCTTTATTATTTTCAACTACTTCTGGTCTATTTGTGAGGTTAAGATAAGGATCCTTAGTCCTTTCAGGATTTGAAATTTCTTGTAAATATCGACAGTGTCTAAGAGCACAAAACTCGTTGTTCAAAATAGTGAACAATTTCTCCTTAATCTTACTCAAATCAGAAGTGGCAAAATCCGAATCATGGATCCAATTAATGAACTCCATGTCAATTTTGTTTAAGGCTTGCATTAGCTTTTCTGCAGCTTTTCCATAATCTTTTTTGTTAGGATTGTGCTCTTCGACTTTACTTTCAACAACACTATTACGAGATGGGGAACTTAAATGTAAGGAGTTCAATTTAACACTAGTACATCCTGAAGGTGATATCCTAGAATCGGAATCAGCGCTAGATTCAGAATCAGATGACGAGGAATCATCACTACTACTACTACTGCTATCTTCATCGGCATTATCTGCATTAGGAACATATTTAGATTTATATTTATGTATTTCGCTATCAACATTGGTGAGTTTGACAAGAGGTATTTTTTTGTCGATACATACAAAATCCTTTGATGACACCGTGACACATGTTGTGGTGCTTGAACTTGAGATATCTCTAGTCCACGAAAGGTTGGAAATACTACTTATAGAATTCTGGCGAGAATTAACAGGCGCTGTATTATCTCCCTTTGAAATATTCTCTTCCGTTTTTTTATTATGTTTGATACCCAGTGGTTTAGATGGCCTCACACGTAATGTCTTCAATCTCTGTACCTCATTGCCCTCATTGCTCTTTTTACTTGTAATGGCTAAAGACTGTGGGGTACCAGATTTATTATTTGCAGCTTCTGGTTTTGGGGACTTGAGGTTTTGAGGCGATTTCAAACATGATATCTCTGGTATGGACTGTAATGGTTTTTCTAATGACATATCACATGCTTGCTTACCTCGTCTTAATCTCTTCCTCAAATTATGTGTAGAAAGTTCCGATGGGCTGGTTAGACTATTAGTTAAATCTGATTTATTACTTATACAGCTTTTAGTCAAAGAATCATCTTTTGATTGTACTTTTTGTTCGGCAGACTCCTCATTTGGAGGTAATTTTACTTCTTTTGAACTTACTTTCCGAGGTGACCTTCGATTTTTTACATCACCTATCAATGGCAATTTTTTTTCTATTGTATTAGTTTTGGTTTCGTTTTCTGGTTCTGGTGTATTTGTTTCAGATACATTCTGTTGTTCTGGAGTATTCTCTGCTGGATCATGTTTATTTGCAGCTTGTGTTGCAATTTTTTTCTGCCGTTTTACTGCCGGTTTTTGTATGGTGGCATCAGCTACTCTCTTTCTTGTAACTGCAATATAAAGATCAGTGTTATGTTCGCATTATAGCTTATAAATATAAAACTAAAAATATTGTATAAAACATATTGTATTCAAATTTTGCAAGTGTACACTTACCAACTTTAGTCGCTGGTTGGATCTTTCCAGGCGTTTTTTTGTTACTCTTTTTAACAGTTGTGGCGGTTGATTTTGTTTCTTCCTCTAAAAAGACAAAACGCATTTAGAAGAAAGGGAATCGTTTAGAAAGTAACTTAAACAAAATTTTTATTAACTTTTGTTAGGATTTTTTACGTAGCGGCACTGATTTTATGATTTGAATACACCTCTACTTACAGATCATGTAAAAACGAACTATTGTGTCTATTATGAATCCTCAAAACTTGTTTGTCCATTTGAGCCTTCTAACAAGAGACAAGGTCTACAAATGAATAGATGGGTCACCCAATAGTAAGTGACTAACCGCAGCCCTGCCAGTGTTGCTAAATAGAGCCCCTATTCCGTGGGAGGGAGGCCTCCCTCGGAATAGGGGGGTCTGGGTGGCAAAACAACAGGCGAGCCGGCCGTGTCGAAGCATGGGTCTCCCACATCAATTCTACAGGAGTGAATAAAAAGCATTATAAACTAACCTGGCTCCGTTTTGATTGTACTTAAGTTAAATAATTGTGTCTCTTCCAATTTTGGACGGCTTTTTTTATTTTTGAGGACAGGCGGGTTTATTTGCACTGCAATAGGTTCCTTTATTAACTGTGATCTGGCCACTGAAAAATAATAAATATTATGTTTAAAATAAAGACAACTTAAATGAATAACCCGTCTCTCAGAAGTAGGTTGTCTGTTCTGTAGAAGACAACAATATGTTTTATGTAATAATGTAAATTGAACTGGACATGATCACAGACAGGGTAAGCGTGCGACCACGGCCAGAGTGATAGAAATTATCGCTACCTTTAACTAATTATCATATGATTACATGACTGATTTCTGTCAAAGCGATTTCACCTGTGATAAATCACAAGTGTGATTTAGTCATAGAAAAAGATTTCATTTATCTATTTAAAACGTAGTTGATATAAAGAATCTTAGTGATTAAACAACTACTACTCCTACTACACAACTACTTCTTCAGAATCATACTAAAAGGAAAAATAGAAGGTAAGAGAGAACGAGGATGGCTTATATCAACATACATACAGCAACTGTAGGAAAAAGTAGGAGTCGTCTATCAAGAGGTCAAACAGATCACAGGAAATAAAGAGGAGTGGTGATTGCTCAACCGACAAGGGTTTGGCTCTTAAATTCAGAGAGAGCTACAGATTAACGAAATCAAAACTTATGGCAAAAAAAAACTGTATTTTGAATTTTCATTCTTATAAAGTCTTTTTTTTTAGATTTAGACCTTACGCGAATCTGGCGCTAGCATGATCAGTCGCAGTGATTATGTACATTATAACGGGACATTGTGATTTTATTCTATCCTTAACAGTCAGTGCAACCTGGTTGAAACATCAGGCATTTTAAAGGTTAATACTTAGTACCTATGATGAGTGCGTTAGGTTCAGTAAACATATGTAATTACATATTATGATAATAACTTTACTCATCTCACACGGCAGTCTGATCCCAAACTAGGCAGAGCCTGTACTATGGTAACCACTACTGATAAACACTTACATATTTTTAAATTCATTCATATTATAAATAAATTACACCGAAACATATGACCGTGTTCATCACACAATAGTTTAAAAGTATAACAATTTGGTTTTAGTCAGTTCAATTCCAATATGATATCAAGAGTAATAAAACCAGTGCTGAGCAATTCATGAGATTAAAAAATTTGGAAAATATTTTGAATGTTATTTTACTTTCCACAAAACATTTCGTGGATACCGATATTTGTGTAAAGCCTGTTTAAATTCATGGTAAATGTTAGAACGAGCGCGCGATAGTGTGCTTTTAGTACTAGGATTCAAAATAATTTCCAGTAGAAATATTCCGTTGCACAAAGCATCAATGTAATAAAGTATAATAAATAAATATTACCTTCATCGGCTAAAGCAATTTTAGTATTGAAGTCTATTTTTCTTACAGAGTCAGGTACATCTGTAAAGTATTTTAATTTCATGTTATTTACTATTAGAATAAAAGAAAATTGCTGTTATAGAATTTCCCTCCAAATATGTTAATAAACCCCCTGTTAATAAACTGTAGTAGCAACTACAATTTCTTAATGTTTCACTTATATATATATCTACTTTCATAATTGGGCTTTTGCTATTTTATAAATGATGTAATTAAAATGTCGTAATTCTATTTATTAAGATCTGAATAGAATTTTGTTTTGTATTTATGAACATTTAATTTGTGTATTATAATTTTATTTATTTATAATACACTTTAATTATTTAAGCAAAATCCATCCTTAACAAAGGCAACTTTACTGAACAATTTTTTCAAGACAATCGGCAAGTATCAACAAAAGTGGAAGAGGAGTGTGAAGCTGTATGTGATGAATGTGGCAAATGGAGTTCCATCCACTCTACCAAACCTGGACGGGAATGAGCCGTGTTTGTATGTTTCAATTACATGATTTTATTTCATCACCATTATCAACAGCCTCTATTAGTCCACTGCTGGACATAGGCCTTACTAGGGGGTGACACTCAATATTTTATTTACACTAAACATATTATTTTCTTTTTAAAATCCAGTCTATTGTTAAACATTTTATTTTTGCTTCAAGTGTAATTTAAGTTGGAAACTAACGGCGCCTTTCATTTAGGTATTAAAATTCCAGAGAAACACGAGAACATAAAATTCCTTAAACTACAGAGTAAGCATGTTCTTGAAACTTACCTAAACTACTTTTATTAACAGGAATACTGATCGTTATGACACTTGGTACTTTCAGAGGTGGTGTATTTTTACGTCGTGTAGCTTTGTCTGGAACTGCTGAAACTTTCTTACCAAGAGACGAAATTTTAACACTTCTTCTCGGTGCCATTTTTGGGCTAAAATCAGTTCTACTCCTTCGATCCTCTTAAATCCTAATCTACAGATCTGATTCTGTTGTTGATGATTATATAGCTATATAATAATTGAATTTTTAGCAATATTTGCATTGTAAATTTAACGCAAATAAAAGTGAAGATTTAGACACTAGGGATATTCACTTAACATCGATATATCGAATTTATTCGATGTATTCCGTACGATATATCGGATTGATTCGATGTTTTGACTAACATTTATTGTATTCGATATATCGATATATTTATTTATAGAAACATCGAATATTTGCTTTTTTTATTTTCTTGTCGAATCTATTAACGAACTAAATAATTTTAACACTACTTGATGTCTTCAATTTTAAATAAGGTTCATTAAGATAGTGACATCTGTGAGTGACCATCTTAATTATCTAATCTATCCTGACAGATCGATCGACTATTCACTCTCAATGTATGTATAGTCTGTGGATTCTATAGGTTCATTATATTTACTTACACTCACTTCACTCTTCTTGCGTCGTTTTCTTCTGTTTGGCGGTAACGCAAATAAATCATTGTTTTAATTGTTTATCTAAGACAAATTTATGTAAGAATTTTACTTGCTACTACAATTTATTACTCTAAAATAACTGATTTGACCTATCGTTTGATTGCTAGTTCGAAGTTGAAAAGGTATATAATATTATATTTCTATTATGTTTATGAACCTAACCTCTACTCGTTTGTGACAGTGTTTTATATTGAAGATATAATATAATGATCTTTTATATGTATTACACTACTAGTTTAGCTATGTTACTCTGGTCTCTAATTCTACATTCATACTTACAAAATCAAGGACCACAAACTTTGTGCGTTTCACTGGAAAAAGGTAATATTAAATTTTTGTGGAAAGTATTCGATAGTGAAAAAATTTCGATGTTTTCTAGCGATATATCGATAAACATCGATGCTGGGATCCAATATTTTACATCGAATATAAATATCGATATATTTTTTAAGTGGACACCCCTATTAGACACATTCTTCGTTAGATGCAGAATAATTTTTAAATAGAGTTGTTGTATTGTATATAATCAATTCGATTGTTCAAATACTTCTTAGTCGATTAATAAAATATTTCAATAATTTCAGATTGCAATATTTTAATTTTCTGAGAAATGAAATTTGAGTTACTTTTATAGTTATAATTTGACTTTTTAGCAGTTTGCGTACTTAAAAGGTTTGGGAACAGTCAATGCTACCTTCACTCTTATTAATGACGTAGTCACCAATTTAAATAACAGGCAAAAGGTTGCGGGGATTTTTCTTCAGATGAACTCCGCTTTGATGCTGTCAGGCAAGACATATTGATAGAAAATCATCTGGATCATTATGGCGTGTGATGTGCAGCGAAACAATCGTTTACTTCCTATCTAAGTAATAAGCACCTGCATAGTAGAGATTATAAGACAGATAGCTATGATCAAACTAGGACTGTTCGAAACAAATGTAAAAAGACTTTTAAATCTAAACTAATTAGAGTTAAAACTGGGGTGCCCCAGCGTTCTACATTCGGCTCTATATTTTTTATCATTTTCATTAATGACCTGATTAGTAGTTTAATTAATAAGTCACCGGAACACATAAAGCTGACTGTTTTCGCAGATGACACACACGCTATTATATTAATTGATAACTTAGAGAACTTAAACAAAAGAGTTAATGAGTCTTTGGGATATTTACTTTATATATTTATTTATTTTTAGGTTCAGCTGCAATTCTTAACTAGGTGATTATGATGATTATGATATGATTATCCACGGTAGATATTCAGAGTATATGAATGTTTTAATAACAATACATAATGATTGGAAAACCTTGAAGATATATGTAAATTGATGTAAAATATGAAATATAAGAAATAACTATGATTATAAATAAATAAATAACACATACAAGTATATAAATTTGTGAAAAAAATTTAAATTGCATCAATACAATTAGAAATTTTCTATTATCTAAAACAGCACGCATAAAGGACCACTCTGAGTCTAAATGCGGAAACCGAAGCCCACAACCAATACCAATATCTAAAACAGCAACTTTCTTGCACTGAACTGCCTTAAAGTAAATACAAATGAATCAAACATAATCTTGTTCAAATGTACAATAGATTAAAAACTCGAACATACTCGGGACACATGTGGACTGTTTCTTGAACTGGAAATATTAGTTGGCCAGTATAGAGGCAAGTATCCACTATGCCTGTGACGTGTAAGTCTAAGAGATTTTGCACACTTGGAGCAAATTAGAACTGTGTACTTTGCCTTTGTCGAATCGAAATTGAGGTATAGCATGCTGTTTTGGGTGGCAGTTATGACTACACATAAAACATTAAAAGAGCTTTCATTGCTCAAAAAAGAGCTATAAGAACTGTGTTGAGGATAGAAAAGCAGGATTCCTTGTTGTTATTATTGTTAATGTAATAGGTACTATTCTTTACTACACATATTTTTAACAAAGAATGGCTACACTATGGCATTAGGTAAAAATAGTTGTATTGTGGGTCATAAATAAATAATTCAGTCAGGCTATTCAATAGACTGCCTCCGGAAATAAAATGCACAATTTATGTAAAAGAATTTGAGTCCAAACTTAAGGCATTTCTTGTTGAGGGGTTCTATTCAATTGAAGATTTTATGAAGTAACATGATAACAATACTTGCATTGATATTTGCAAAAAAAAACCTACTTAATATTTTACACATAATTGTGACATTTTAAGTTAATATGTTTGCCTTTATATTGTTATTTTTTTTTAATTATAGATTATTATTTCATGATTGTTCTTTTGGTTTTAACTATTAAATTTAGACTAAGATAATTGAATTTCAACACAATGTAATATTGTTTACGAAATAAATAAATAAATATTTAAAAGTACTGAATATTGTATTTTTATGATTCAATGACATAAAATAGGTTGTGTCGAAAAGCAGCGGGGCAGCCCTAATGTTAGTCAGGAATTCCTTTGACTTATTAGTTATTGACCGCAGTAGAGGTCAATCAGGTTACTAACGTCAAAAGCAAATAAGTCGGCTAAATAGTACCTATTTCACCGGTTTGTTGAACAGGTATTTATTAAATAACAGTTTAAAATGGCTGCAAAATATAAAATTGTTATGGTTCGCCATGGTGAGAGTGAATGGAACCAAAAGAATCTTTTCTGCGGATGGTTTGATGCAGACCTCAGTGATAAAGGTAAGGATAGCACTTGATAGACTAACAAACCTTATTTTTCCTTGTAATAAATAGTACAGGTACATTAGTAGTATATTCTTATGCTATTGTTGCTCAGGACGCGAAGAAGCATTAACAGCTGGTAAGGCTTTGAAAGCCGAAGGCTATGAATTCGATGTCGCCCATACATCAGTCTTAAAACGGGCTCAAATAACCTTAAGCATAATTATGAACGAACTTGGAAAACCTGAAATTCCCGTCGAAAAGACTTGGCGTTTGAATGAAAGGCACTATGGAGGTCTTACAGGACTTAACAAGGCTGAGACTGCAGCTAAATATGGTGAAGCCCAGGTAAATACTATTTATATCTTTGCTTGACATTATGTACTAGTATCAGAATAAAAAAAAGCAGGTTTTCATCAGAGCCCTTATTGAGGCACCTTGCACTACCAACCTGTAGAATGGGTTATCGTCTATAGTTTTTCCGCACCAATACGACCTTCAAGAAAAGAGCATACACCTCAAAGGCCGTCAAGGCACTTGTGACTCCTGTGTTGCAATGGTTCATGGGCAGAGGTAGTCGCTTTCCATCAAGACCCGTCTGCTCGTTTGCCTCGTCTCTTTACTTGTGCTGTAAGACCTTGCTTTTAACCATAATTACGAAATTCGGCAAAAAGAGACATCTTACAGCACAAACAAAGGAATAATTCCGAAATATAAAAAAAGTTGAAAATTAAGACAAATTTAGGTACTTGCAAATTTTCACAAAGATCTACGTAAAATCTGGGTAGGTTCGACTTGTAGCTGACCTTTTTTTTTTTATTCTGACGCTAGTACAGTGTTACTAGCATTTATATAGAAAAGTTTTTTTCAGGTCGCTTGATCGTAATTGACTACCACTGCTTGTGGACACCTTTTTTGCTCTGCCGGCAACTCAAGTCACTCCTCACTTAGAACTTTCTTTGTACAGGTTCAAATTTGGCGCCGTAGTTTTGACATACCTCCACCACCGATGGAGAAAGACAGCCATCCATACTATGACACAATTGTAAAAGATGCCCGTTATGCTAATGACCCAAAACCCGAAGAGTTCCCTATGTTTGAGAGCTTAAAACTCACTATTGAAAGGACCTTACCCTATTGGAATAATGTCATTGTACCACAGGTAATAATACAAAAATATTAATAGAACCTATAAACATAACTGCCTCAATAACTAAACTGTTAACCTATGTACCTCAAGTCATACTGGAGGTGCTAGTTTGTATTACTTGCACCAATGAATGATTATATCAGGGAACTTGGCCTTACAGGTATGATTAGTACACAATTACAGTTGCATAACATACAAAATGTACCTGTCAATTCCACTTGTATGGTACAGTGAAGTTGCAAAATAATAGTTTTATTAAAAAATATTAATGGTGTAAAGTGAGAATAATTCAAACCAAATATTAAAATCTTTAAATGCAAGGTCATTATTGTGATATCTAGTTTGTATTTTAATGACTTTCATTTACCAACCTGAGATGTAGTGGTCTTACAGACAATATAATTCTTTAGATAAATCAAGATTTGGGATAGCCACTTCTATATTATTACCAATGGCTAAAATTCTTGAAATGTTATAATCCATCTATGTTTTACACTAATTCTAAATTAAAAAATACTGTTTTTCAGATTAAGGAAGGTAAAAGGATAATTATTGTTGCTCACGGTAACAGCCTTAGGGGTATTGTTAAGCATTTAGATGGTATGTATAATCAAATTTAGAACATACAATAGATTTGAACTGCCTCTGTTATTAAATTTTATTATTTCTTTTATTTATAGAGCTAAGCGATGACGCCATCATGAGTCTTAACCTGCCAACTGGGATTCCGTTTGTCTATGAATTAGATGAGAACATGAAACCTGTTGAATCCATGACGTTCCTCGGTGATGAAGAAACTGTTAAAAATGCAATGGCCGCCGTTGCCGCACAAGGCAAGGCAAAGTAAATTATAAATCACATTCAGAGATGTACCCGAGTACTAGGTATTCTACCTGGTACCATGATAAAAAATGATTGTAGCAAAAATTACGTAATTAATTATTATTTTAAGATTGTAAAAGAAACAAAGTGTATAAATGAATCTGCAAAATTTAGATTCATTTCAAAATTAACTAAATATCATATTGGGTGTATGCCAATGCATACCATTATGTTGTTACCATAGATATTTATTATACATTTATAAAGAGAGTGTATAAATAAAGTTTAAGAAATTAAAAAATAATGCTTTTATTCTGGCAAATTATCCTTTAAATCAACCATAATCTCGTCCATGTTAACTTCTTTCGAGATGTTTTTACTTTTGGTAAATTGTCTTCCAGTGTACTTGGCAAATGTTTTCTGTTTACTATTAGTTAGAATAACTTTATGTTTGGAACTGCTACTGCTCTCGCCGTCCAAATCCATACACACTTCAGTTTGACCTTTATTTTGGTTTACCCTCGATTTTTTACTTTTTTTACTGCTCGGTTTTGATTCAAATCTAAAGTCTTTTGGTAATTTATGTTCTTTGATACAATGTTGCAAACGATCGTCACCATTCTTGAACTTTTCTTTGCACTCTTCTATGTAACAGCAGTACTAAAATCAAAAAGTATGTTAGTTAATTTCATAGAGAAATAAGCATAGAGAGAATATGAGGTACAACCGCCTGTAAGTGGAAGCGATACAAGTAACGAGAGAGATTGATGCCCGATAGTTGTCTCTGTTTCTCTCTGTTCTTCTCTGTTTAGCTGTTCTTCTCTGATTAGCTAAGCTGCGATTGGCTATCGTAAAATGGGCATGGTTTTGTTCGTAGAACAGGCGGACGATTAGAAATTTCATTTCATTTTACTTGCCAGCCACAGAGCTCGACTAGAAAGGGATAGAGGGAACTATCTATTATCCATCTCTCTCTATTGATTTATTTTTATTTAGGTTATTATAGGATAGCTGTTAAGCTGCGGTCGGTAAGAAAGTGATTCAACTTTATCTGATAACAGTTAAAAATAAATTACTTAGATAAACTTAAAACATTTTTTCTTTATTTTAAAGTTCCATAATCCTAACTAGGAACCCTTTTTTTTTCCGTGCGGAAATCCCTTTGGATACCACCTATCGGTGGCATGTCGGACTCGAACCGACTAAAACCGCACGCCGTCTCGGGTACTTATAGCCGGGAAACCAGGTATACCCTAGAAAGGAAGTCCCTGGTGCTAACTAGGAACCCATATGATTTCAACATGTCTGTCCGTTCGGCCATTCTTGGCTTACCTTAGAATATTTTATTTTATCCATACTTATATTATAAATGTGAAAGTGGGTTTGTTTATTTGTTACGCTTTTACGTCTAAACCACTAAACCGATTTTAGAAAGTCTTTCACCTATGGAAAGCTACTTTATCAGTGAGTAACATACACTACTTTTACACGTAAATGGGCGGAGCAGCGGGCAAAAGCTAGTTAGTATATTTTTTTTTTTTTTTTTTTTTTTTTTTTTTTTTTTTTTTTTTTTTTTTTTTTTTTTTTTTTTTTTTATTTAAAGGGCTTTGTCGCTGTGCGACCACATCGCCCTGTGACAGTACGAATATATTAGTTAACATCTAACATAGACACATCTCTACCAATTTATATAATTTCCGGGCTTCAACCGACACAGGGTTAGCCAGAACACTATTACAAAGGCCGATATTCATACCTCTCGAGACCCCTAAATGTTCCCTGTAAGTTCTGTTCCTTACACATTCAAAAATAATGTGTAATATATCATCGGTTACACGGCAGTCCTCACAGTTGGGAGATGAGACTTTTCCCATTAAAAATGCGAATTTCTTAGAAGCTATATGACCTGTTCTCAACCTTAAGGCAGTTACCAAAGCTTTTCTATTAAGTTCCACGTTTTCGATCCATGGGTATTTAGGTACTTGCGGCTGTATTGTACGGTACCAAATACCTTTCTCTCTCGATCTCTCATCAAAATACTCCTGCCAACACATATGACATTCCTCTTTTACGACTCTGGTGTAGTCAGTATGTAAAGGCAATACTTTTAATGCGATGCCACTCCAACATGCCTCCCTTGCCAACTGGTCCACAACATCACTCTCCCCAATACCAACATGTGAGGGAATCCATTGCAGAACAATTTTCCTACTTTGTGATTGAAAATTTAGGATTGACTCCAATATTTGATAGGCTATCGGATTACCTCGCATGTGCGAGGTACATCGAGCCAAATGTTGCAAGGAGCTTTTAGAATCAGTCAGAATCACGAATTTATCATACTTAATAGATTGAACGTATGATAAGGCTTCTGCTATAGCGATTAACTCAATGTGCATTATAGAAATATTGGAATCAATCCTAATTTTGATGCCGCAGTCGTTGAATGGGTCGAAAAATGCAGCACCACCAACTCGTCCGTCCTTGGATCCATCTGTATAAATCTTATGATATCTGTCGTATCGTTGATCTACAAAATTGACACAAGTGTTTCGCAGGTCACAAGGTTTATACAAATGTTTACCTTTATTGACTGATGGGATAGAATCACAAACCACCCGCGATAAATCTATACTGCTGACCCATGTTTGCAATGAATACATCTCTAACTGGTTACACGAATGTAGCACCATCGAATCTAAGGATTGGAAAATAGTTGTGAGTAAGGGACGTCGTTTGTTGGTCCAATAAGAAGAATGTGTACTCTCTGATAGTTCCTGCACACCAGTAATTGTCTTATTATTATTAAACGTTTTAGCTTTTAACCCGAATTTACAAGCCAAGTATTGCCGACGATATTGAAGTGGTGGTAAGTGTAATTCACTCTCCATTGTGTGTATTGGAGTACTCCGGATAAAGCCTCCTATAACCCGCAACGCTTGGTTCTGGACTTTGTCGAGTTTATATAAGTACGTTTTACAACTATTGTCATATAAGAAACTGCCATAGTCCAATCTACTTCGGATGAGAGATATATATAAACGTCTTACATGTTTTTGATGAAGACCCCATCCTCGTCCGACTAGTACCTTTAATATATTTACTAACTTGGATACCTTTAAGACAGTCTCATTAATATGTTTTCTCCATCTTAATGAACCATCCAACCACATACCAAGATATTTCACCTGGTTGACAGTAGCAAGAGAGACGTTATCAATTTGGAATTCAATAGTATCTCTGGAATAACCTTTCCTAAATATGCAGATTTTACTTTTATTCGGTGAGATCACAAGCCCTAAGTTTGATAGCAATGAACTCAGGTCGAGGCAGGCATTTTGTAATTGTACTGCTGCATTACCTATCTTTTTATTTGATTTGTATAAAACAAAATCATCCGCGTATTGCAAGATTTCAACATTTTGTATCTTTTTACATATGTTTGAGGTTGCTATGTTGAATAGTAGCGGGGAAAGCGGATCTCCCTGAGCTAAACCACGACCGGTGGTTCTAGATATATCGACACCATCAACGTCAACGTGCAATCGTCTATTTTTTAAATACGCCCAAAGGTATAAGCAAATCCGAGAGCCAACCCCATAGCTATCCAATACTTTGATTAAACATGCCAAGTCTACATTATTGTATGCGTTGTCTATGTCGACGAAGCATGCAGCAGTTATTAAATTTTTTGAAAAACCAGTTTGAATGTAGGAAACCAACCGTGTCAGATTATCTAAACAGGATCTAGATTTACGAAAACCTACCATATTATCTGGGAACATATGACATTTTTCAAAGTACCATTCCAATCTTTTATTTAAAATGCTGTGTAGAATTTTACAAAAACAAGAAATTAGTGATATTGGGCGTAATGCACTATCTGAATGCATATCCCGACCAGGCTTCGGAATAGGTATAATTTGTACGTTACGCCACTGAAGAGGTACAAAGCTATGATTGAGAAATTGATTATATAGGGTTAATAAAAAGGATTTACCTATAGGTGGAAGGTTTGCTATCATAGAAAAGGACACGTCATCACTACCCGGTGCAGTGTCGGTACGTTTTATAGAATTTTTTATTTCTTGAAGAGTAATAGGGGACTCCAAATGACTATTTTTCGATTGAATATTAGGTTGAGGTGGACATACAAAATCTGGGGTGATATCGTTTAAGAGCTTCTCTATTTTCTCTTTGTTTATGTGTTGTAATGTATGATGTGTATGACCTTTAATCCATTTCATTTTCCGCCAAAGTATTCTTGAGGAAGATGTTTCATCCACGGATGAACAAAATTCCTGAAAAGATTGCCCTCTGGCTAGCCGAATAGCACGCTGTGCATCTCTTATTTTGTTTTGCAGTATAACTAAGTTACCAGGGGATGGACATCGTCGCAAGTTGGCAAGGGCCAGGCGGCGCTCAGCTACCGCTTTTGATAGCTCTGCGTTCCAATAGGGTTTAGGTGTAAATTTGCTGGTTATTTGTTGGGGTATTTTTTTAAAAGGAATGTATAAATTCGCTGCTTCTTGTACGATCTTTTCAAATAAATTGTAAAATTCTTGAAGTTGTGAAGGGACAGAAATTGACGATAAAGCGTTTTCTATATAAGACGAATATGCCTTCCAGTTACTATTTTTGAAATTTCTTTTTGTTTTAATTTTTTTAGGGATGTGTATGCTAGCATATAGCTTAATTATCAAATGGTCACTGCCGAGATTTTCGTTTGTGGGTTGCCAAGTAAATAAGGTCGCCAAGTCTGCGGAAATGAAGGAGATATCTGGTGATGATTGCTGTAAAATACCATTAACTAATCTAGTACGCGTAGCGCAACCATTATTTAAATAAATAAAGTTATGATCTATCATACAATCGTATATCTGGTGACCCCTCTGATCAGAACGACATGACCAGTTGGGGTGATGTGCGTTAAAGTCACCAAGAAGTAGCGTTTTTCTATCAGAGAGAGAAAATAGAAAGTCCCAATCGTTTCGTGTTGTACGTACCGTGGATGGGCAGTATACAGAAATTATGTTTTCTATGTGTGGGCAGTTAAAAACTTTTACATGTATTAGTTCTATGTCCGGATTAGTGCAATTAGTTAAACATGTGGTGCACTGAATGGTGTTGTGTGTTAATATAGCAACCCCTCCATATCCATCAAATCTATCAGATCTATATATGTTGTAATTACGTATACGAAAAGCACTTCCTCGCTCCAGCCAAGTCTCACTCAGGACTGCAATGTGTACCTTTTCTTGTATTAAAAGAGTTTCGAGAGATAAGGATTTCGGCCTTAAACTTTGACAATTCCATTGCATTATGACAAAATTTGTATTGACACAAGTACTATCCATAATTAACAAGGCTATTAAAAAGTGAACTAACAGAAGTACAACTCAAAATTTTTGACAATATCCAGTCTGTGCAAATTGAAACTACTTGTTTAATTTTGTATTCTAAAGAAATCTTACTAAATATAATATTTTTTAACTGTACAAGAAGTGGTAAAAAACTTAAATTTTCAAATTTGTTATTGAAAGTCTTACTATGAGTCTCTTTTTCAACCCGAGGACAGTCGTCAGAACTTGTAAACCCCGACGCCTCTTTATTCCAGTTAGTCTCCCTGCAATCTGCGGCACTGGAAGATGGGGGAGGTGGTAAAGGTGTAGGCGCTCGTTGTCTCTTTTTCTTTCTGCGTGATTGCGTTGAATTAGGCTGATCCACGATAGAAGTAAATAGTTGAGAAAATAGGCGTTCGCTTTCTGGCCTATCGTGTTGGTTATTCACGTGTGTACTTTCCGAGACTGTGATTCGTTGTGATTGTATTTTATCTTCTTCATACACCTTGTTAGGTCCAGTTAGTTTAGGAATCGGGCTAGGCGGGACATATATTGACAACGCTTTCCTATAAGTACAATTAAACTCAGACATTAACTCCCTGATTCTCCTCTCTTTCTTAAATAAAGGACAGGATTTTTGCAATGCCATGTGATTTCCTGTACAGTTGACACATTTGTAGGATGTAGTGTCGCAATTCTCGTGGCCTTTTGTACATTTAGGACACACAACTTTTTTTGATGGACACATTCTCCACGCATGCCCGAATTTCCAGCAGCGTGAGCATTGTGTCACGGGAAATATATACGGTTCTACTCTCACTCTCATCTGCTCAATATAAACATACCCAGGCAGTGATGAGGTTCTAAAGCCAAGGCGAATGGTTTCGCTTTCAATCCAATTGTGATTAGTGGCACTCGTAGAACGCGGCTCAATATTATTCCGTTTGTTTAGTCTTTTAACCGATACAATATCATAATCACTCGATAAACATTTTAAGATATCTGCCTCTGAAAGATCTAACTCCACATTTTTAATAATTCCGTAAGAGATTCCAACCTCCGAAGTTTTTTGGCTTCTCCATCCTAACTCCGTAAACTCTTTGCACCCAATAAAATCGTCAGCATCACTTGCGCATTCAAAAGTTATTAAAATTTTATTTTGGTGAACGTATTTGATGCGCTCAATTCCTTTTATATTATTTTTTGTAAACAATCGGGCGAGTGCGAATTGTTTAGGCAAAGCTGTATTGTGTGTAACTGACACTTGAAATTTATCTTGCACTTCCTGACTGTCCCTACGAACCACTTTATTCCTTCTATAAACTGTATTCCATTCCTCTGATGAGTTATCCTCTCTTGTCCTCTTGTTTAATCTGCTTTCTTCTACCTCCTCATTTGCTTGTATTCGGTCACTGCATTCCATTCTGTCCTCCGTTTCATTCACAAGGTTAGTACTATTGACACGCGTCATTTGATATTCGACCCTATCCTCGACAGCATTAGAGCGATCACTCATCGCGCACGAGCGGCGCCCCGGCCCTATCGGTCGGGAGCACGCTTATCGCAGATTTTATTATTTTACTATGTACAGCAGCGTTAAATACACGACCTAATGACACGAGGTGGCACCGGCGAGTAGTTAGTATATTAATGAGGCCAAAAATCTGCTAACACAGTCTTGAAAATAATATTGTCTGAGGGTCTATCGCAGTCCAGTTTCTTCAAATTATTAATAATCAATAAACTGAAAACACTGCATCCCTTTTAGACTTCACTAACACTAACACATATAATAATAATATTAATAATTTATTATCAAAAAAGCCCAATACAGTTTGTTAGTTGGATACAAAGTTACGTATTCTTTTGAGACATAGTGAACATCAGTGTCTATGATAGTGTTAACTGTGTTACACATATAGATGTGAAACAAACGATTTAACACGTTTTAAACTAAATGTTGCCGTTTTAAACCCCAAATAAATCGTTTAACAATGACTACAAAAATTATAGAACTGTGTTTTACACTTCATTGTGGGCAATTTTTACCTACCTATACTTATTTACTATATAATATTACACACACTAGATTAGAAGACATCATTAACACAATGCCAACCGTTTTACTTGCGCATGAAAGAGACAACGTTATGTCTTCAAGGCCGTCGCGCCAGTGCCGACGGTGTCAACGAGAGTGCGAGCCTTACGCTCGCACTCTCGTTTGTTTTTAAACCGAATCAAATTGATTATTTATATCTTTGAAAACAATAAAAAAATGTTTATATACTAACACAGAGTTTTTAACTTTTCATTAGAGTTTTTATAACTTAGGTAGGTAATACCTACGCTTGGCCGGACGGACTAACTAGAACTAAACCCACTAAGTATATCAATATCAGTATATCATACATAAAAATAATCTTTACACAGTTACTTTATGGGTACTCCGTCATACATCCGTCTCTCCCTACCTCGGTAAAATCAAAAAAATATAGTTATAATTAAGAAAAACATAGTCATCAACACAAACCGTTTTAAATAAAAAAAAAAGGGTTTTTAACGGTTTTTCTTTTCAAACGGATTAGTTTAATTGGTTTTAAACCGGCTTTACATCTATATTTACAGACAGTGGCGCCTTCCTCTTACAGTTTATGTGACATTAGTTGGTTTAGCATAGATAAGATGAGTAGCTATTAAAAACTTAATCAATACAGTTCACAATTATATAATTGGTTATTATTCAAAACTATACGTGTGGAGGTGTGTGTGCGCGCGTGTGCGTCTCTATGTGTGTGTGGGTTCCTGCGTGCGTGCTTGTGTGTGTGTGTGCTGAGCTGTTGTTAGGGATAAGTTACGAAGGTTTTTTTTCAAAATAATATGTCAAGTTATTGTTACAGGGTGACAAAAGTTAGGGGTATATTTTTTACTTACTGAAGGTTTCCTTTCAGCCATAACCGCAAAAAAAGAATCATGAGTTTCTTGTATATGCAAATCCAATAAATGGGGGGATGGTAAATTCTTCTTGCACTGCCCACAAGCATACCTATGTGATGCATTATAGTGGTTTTCGAATTCTAGTAATGATTCTGCTATGAAAGTACATCCTGGAACGCTGCATGAAGATTTTATCCTGAAATAAGGACAAAAGTAACTAAGTAATGGTTTATATCTATACTATAAGAATACGGAGTGTCACCACCCCTATTCATCCCGTGGGTGTCGTAAGAGCCGACTAAGGGAGCAAACTACCCAGGACAACAGCACTGCAAACGGAATGAAAACTTGAACCCTATACCAACCCGTCTGGCCAGCGTGGTATAGTTGGCCAAAACCTCCTTTCTAAGGAGAGGCCTATGTCCAGCAGTGGACTATTAAAGGCTGTTGATGCTGATGTTGACATCTATACTAACGACTCCCTGCAGATTCATAAATTTAGTATATGTTACTAGCTGATAATGTAGCTTTCCATTTGTGAAAGAAAATTCTAAAATCAGTTTAATGTTTTAGGAGTAAAATCGTAACAAATAAACAAAGAAACTCCAGTTCGCATTCATAATATAATTAAAGATTTATATATTTGTCTGTACTAGCTTTTGCCTGCGGCTCCGCCCGCACGTATGTCGGTTATCGCGGTAAAAAGTAGCCTATGTAACTCGCTGTTAATGAAATTTTACATTGGTAAAAGAATTTTTAAAATCGGTTTAGTGGTTTAAGCGGTACGGTGGTACGGTGAAAGCGTAACAAACAAACGCACATTTACGAGTATAATATACTAGCTGACCCTGCAAACGTTGTTTTGCTATTTACATGAGTAAATTTTTTTTTTAATTTCTTAAAATACGTTCTTAGCTGACCTCTACTCGGTGAAAAGAATATTCCTACCAAATTTCAAGTCTTTAGCTCTAATGGTTCCAGAGATATCGTGATGAGTGACTATATACGTGGAAATCTCTTATATATATATATATATAGCCTAGCTTTTGCCTACTGGTTACCAGCGTGTATCCCGGTTATCGTGGTAAAGAGTAGCCTATGTTACTCGCTGACAACTGAGTATTCTATTGCCAAAATATTTTTTTAAATAGGTTTGATTTAAAAATCACCAATTTAAAGGAAAAACATCAGCGAGTATCATTAGAAGATATACAAGCGGAGGGTTCCCCTAATGGGATGGGCCACAAGGGTGTTACAAGCCGTTGAGATAGGAGTACGCTTTTTACGCTCGCTTTTGTCGCTTAGTCCGGATATACCTCAGGCGTTTATGTAGTCGCTCGTTAGGCGAGCTTTATAATCTTTGTTTGTCAACTTCTTATTTCAGTATTTTATGTGAAAATAATAGGAATTTATATATTTTAAATAAAAAAAAATACAAAAACAATAGATTACAATAAAACCCTACAAAATCAGATGTAAGTATTGCTCATAGAAAACGTAAGCGTAGAAACTTCACGCCCTAAGCACTTAGATATAGAGTTGGATATTGAATATACACATACCTACTTAAAAACTTAAGATCTTAGACAATATATGTATACATACTAACATTTCATGACAATAGTTCTCTTCATCGAAGTCGTAAACGCCCAGTCTTGGCGGCGGCTTATCATTTAAAAACAGAACGTCATCTAACGTTCGCCGCCCTACTCCGTAAGCTTGGATTTTTTCTAAAATAGATTGGCTGGTCTCCATGCTGAAAAAAAGAAGATACAATTAACGCTTTTACTATCGAATGGCCCGTCGTAGATGAATGATGAATCGTAGATGGCCCGCGGTACGTCGGGGCACCAGGGCTTTCCTTTCTAGGGTACACCTGGTTCTCCGACTACTGGTACCTGAGACGGCGTTCGGTTTTAGTCGGTTTGAGTCCGACATTGCCACCGGTAAGTGGTATCCGTGGGGATTTCCGCACAGAAAAAAAAGGGGGTCTAGTGGGATGTTATTTCACGGCTATGCGACTTCGGCGTGGCGATTGGTGAAGAGTTCAGTGTAAGCCAATCTTAATACAGAACGCGGTCCCTGGAATAAATTCGCACTAGACCGCAGACCATCGTTACCAGCTGCTGGATTCGTCAAACAAACTGTATGAGTTTAAAGTCAAGGGGGTACTAGTAGCTACTGTACAGTTCCACTTCCATAAATGACACTTCATGCTTAACTATTGTTTTATTTTACTTTTTTGGGCTAAGTATAAATTTTCTTCTCCACTGTCGCCTATGAAACTAAAGCATTTTTCAATGCATTTGAATAAAACCTTAGATTATTATACCTCGTTAGATAGCTGATGAAACGTAGATATTTTAAAAAACATCTGCCGAACAATTACCATAATATATTGTTTTTAGATATCCGTTAGAGAAAAATAATTTTCTAATATATTTTTTATTTCTTTACTTTCACTTGTCTACTACGATCTATTCAATTAACTTATGAACTATTTTAATGACTGACGTCCTAAAGCATCTTATTACACATGTAAAAATGCAAAAATAATAATAATAAGATACACAAAATAAACAAAAATAAATGTAGTAGCCTAAAAATCAGCAAATTTCAATAAAAAAATTAAAAGACGATTATCTCAAAAAGGGTTAAGTTTAGGGTAGGGTGTTTCATAGTGAAATATGTCAGAAATGATGGGTACTCCACGCCCTTAACGGATCTAGCACGACTTTTCTTGTAACTCTGTATAATGTGGAGTACAAACACATTATCGCAGGCTACGATCTCTGACGACTGATCGCAGGTTTATACTGAGGGTTCCTACTTATTATAGTTGTTTTACTTAATTTGTATTTTTTTTTTAATTTTTAGTGCTCTGTGTCTACTGACATTCAAAAAAAAATTTGAACCGACTTCAAACAATACTTTGTTTGAAGTCGGTTCAATTTTTTTTTTAAAAGGATTTATTTTACCATTTTTATGTTTGTAATGAGTAGATAAGTACGATATTGAAAACACTACGTACCGTAATGTATAGTACCAAACTGTACTATAGATTACGTACCAAACTAGTATGTTAGATTATATTAAATATAGTTTAATAGGTCCGTTACTTTATTTAAATTAGTAAGATGTTAAATTTGAAGAAAATATATTGTTTTCCACATTACTTAATTTTCCAAAACTAGGAGTGGTATTTTTTCTTCAAATTTTAATGGAACTAAAGGGGAAATATACCATTCAAATAAAAAACATATTTTATAATCGGTTTACAAATATAAGAATTTTGAGGTAACAAACATGCAAATAATTGCGTAACAAACATTTTTTTGTCTAAATGTTCTGTAATCTCATACATTACTCATTTGTGCACAATCTCTGTAACCCAACCGAAAATATAACAAACATCTTGAAAGAATTTAACAAGGTCAATACACGATACGCCGAGGATTCCTACCCAGATTTTACGTAGATTTTCGCGAAAATTTATCTAGATTTTCAAATTTTTTGGAATTATTCCTTTATTTATACTGTAAGACGTTTCTTTTTGCCAAATTTCGTGATTCTAGGTCAACGGGAACCACCATATAGGTTTTCGACATTGATATAATACTTACATAGATGAGTAATTACCGCCTAAAATCGTTGCTTCTGCACATCTGTCCACAGGCATATGCGTAGCAAACGTCAATTCAGTGTTCAATGTGGCGTCAACCGAGTTGAACATAGCGACACATGACAGTAACAATCGCCAAAATGGGTAAATGCGTAGTGAAAGAATGCGATTCAAGGTCACAAAACAATAATAAATCATGCGGAATTACTTATCACGTGTAAGTTTATGGGTTTGGAATTGATAATATCGTAAATAAGGCTATAATTGAAATAAAACATTGATAATTGTAATTTAGAATCAGTGTTACCATTAAAAAACATTTTGGTTTTCCCACATTAGTGGGAGAATTTATAATTTATGAAATAATATGCTTTATACTGTTTTTAAACATTTTGCCAATAACACACTTTTTTCGACGTGTGATAATGAGGTTTGCTTCTCTAGTGTTGTTTTAACTCAATGGTTTTCGACCCAAAACATAGAATTGTCAATTTTCGTTCGTTAAAATTTGTTAAAAGCAAGGTCTTACAGCACAAGTAAAGAGAAAATTCTGAAAAAAAAAAGTTGAAAATTAAGGTAAATTTTGGTACTTACAAGTTTTCGCGAAAATCGAAATTTGCCCATATCTTTTTATCCTGTTGACTCAGGACCATGATTTTTACACACCTAATAGGAACCATAGACCTCAGTATCTGGTATAAATTTCAACGCTAGGTCTACCCGTTCCTGAGAAAATCGGTGGTGACACACGAATAGACGGACAAGAAAGTGATCTTATAAGGGTTCCTTTTTTACCACAACACAGGCGCTGCCTAGTTTGTGTTGTTTAAAGGGTTTTGTAGGATGAGATATCCCTGAGATTCTATGTTTGTGATTAAATATATCGGTAGGTACACGAAAACCGTCAGTTAAGCGTATTGTACTTTTATCAAAGTACACATGACACTACAACGTTTAATTTACATGACGGTTCGTCGGTTAATTTATCCGTAAGTCGGAAGTATAGAGTAGGTATATCATATTTTTATTGTACCTGGTGGTAAGTGGCTGACATGACAGTGGCAGTCAGGCTCACTAATCACTATAGTCCATCAACGTCGTGCGCGACCGTCCTGCGGGGTGACAGACGGTGGCGGGGACGAGGTACTCAAGATGTCAGCGGGTAGCGGGTGGTGTAGCGGGGAAGGGAATCGTGTGTAGCGGTGTGCTAGAATGACGCGCTACCTCGCCCCCGCCACTGTCTGTCACCCCGCGGGACGGTCGCGCACGGGATTGCCGGGTTATAGAACAACACGCCAGTCATGTGGTCGACGTGGACGATGGCTGGCACGTGCGCACTGCTGGTGACAGGGTGCCTTTGGTCGCGCCTGGTCACCTCAGGCTGTTTTTAATCTCAAACACACTTCATTTTGCGCGATTGTTTAAGTTTGAAAATAATATCTTAAACTGTTCGCATATTTCATTTTATTTTGAGCTCCTAATACGTAAAACCATTTCGCGGCCCCGGGCTGGTAGATGATTACAAGGTCCCGACCAGTGAGATCATTTCAAAGTTCTTGTCTTTGTGGAATAAGTTTTAATGATACATGAAACTTGGCTTATCGGGCGAGTGCGCAAAGTCCCTGCATGAACGAGACTTCGAGCCGTTGCCCTGCTCGCCATCCCCAAAGGCCGTCCCTTCATGGAACAAGAACTTAAGACAACGTATTAAATTAAATACTTTCACAAAGTTTTTGCCACTTTTTTACATAGGATCTAGTTATAGGCAACTGATGTCTTGACTGACTTACACGATTCTAATTCTTGAAAATTCAAAAATACTCAAGATGGTTATAATTGTAAGAAATCATTTTGTTTTACGTATCATTGAATTGCGTGACGTTTTGACCACGAACACTATCCGAGGTCATAGGTTGACTTAGATATAACTGCGTTGATAATATTATTGTGTAACGCAAAATTTTAAGTTCCTACCACAACGTTAAATCGGAAGCCTAATTCTCATAATAAAAGTTAAATTTCAATTCAGTTCCCATCAACATTCGATCTCACAACTGTCATAAAAGGTATTTTCGTAGTAAAATAGTAAAGCATTACTAATACTAGCAGATTACAGATTTAATTTTCAGTTACAATACGATATACCGAAGAGACGAGACCGAACTTTTATTATGAGAATTGGCCTTCTGATCTTTTCAAGGGCATGGGTTGACGTACCTACGTCTCATGTAAGCGCTAATTGTATTTGATGTCATACTTCGTTAAAAGCCTTTTCCGAGCCTTGAAAAATATTTTTTAGTTCGTCAGATAAGGTTGAACCTCACTTCAGAATTATTCCAAAAGATATTTATGAAACTCTCTCATACAGATTATTATGTTTTGGGCTTAAGCCATGGGTCTTCATCCAAGTTTATAAATCAAAGTTGAGATCGTCCATCTGTACCTACTACATAATGGACAGTACAGGAAGCAACACAAAAATGAGCGATTGATTGTTTTTAAATAAAGAACATGTAAAGAGACTGAAGAGTTAACAATCTGGTTTAAAGGTATAACTGAAGCAATGACTCTTCTATAAGCAAGAAGGGTGCGATTCTTACTAGGTATTCACGTGTCCCAAATAAGTTGACACCACTGTACACCAGTAAGATTATAAAATAATAAATAAAACTCACGACTGGAGTCTACCGTACGCTTGTTTACCTACTTAGAGGTATGGGCCACTTAGCGATTTTCGTTATAATATCTATACATACAATTATATAAGAGAACCGGTTTGATAAACTCAAGGCCGTCCATACCAATTCAGTCGCGTCGCTAAGGTAATTTAACTCTATAAAGATTACTCGTAAAACTACACTATCATCAGGTCATAGTAGTAGATAACATTTTTGATTCGTAATGCTTATAACGCTTGTATATTCAGTCATTGTAACAAGTTTTATTAGTACAGTAGTCTATTTAGTTATAGTCTGTGGTCATTAAGCGATGCGCAGAAGCAAAGAGTACATTTTTATATAGTGAAACGTAAAAATAAGTTATACATTTGCAAATTGTGATTACTATACGCTTATTACAAAACATAATAATTTATAATAAATAATAAGAGTTTTTCTAAAAAAAAAATCGCCGACGTGCTTAACAGTGCAACTTTTTTACAATTTTTAATTTACAGTTACGAACAAATAAAAAAGAATGAATACTCTACGCAAAAGAAAGGTAAGTGATAATTTCCAAATTTAATTCTTATAGGTTATGATCGTTAGGTAATGTTTGATATCAAAACGATTATAAAAAGTTGAATAGCTAACCTACGTAATGGTTATAAGAAAACTGTAATCATGTACATAACTCACCTTGAAGCATGTTTCCTCTGTGTTTAGTTTCGTATCTGTCATACTATGTTTTAAAACAGAGTTTTTTTTTTTAATATCAAGGCTTAGCCAACAGATAAAGTCACATAATCGTCACAGAGCCCTTTTCTTTTTTTATCTCAGTTGTTTATGGACTCTATCTCACGTGTTAGAGTCCATGTAGGATTTTTTCTTATATTACTCGTGTAAGAAAGTATCGTGAAAATAAGAAAAACTAGCACAGAGTAAACAAGAATAAATAGACCAGAGTTTTCGATTAGTGATGTGCTTAAGTTTTTACCTTTGATCAAAAAACTATGCGTTCTAACAGTATTGAACATTATCTACTATACTGAACATCGACTACGGCACGCTTAATTTCAAGTGATCGTTTCATCGATAACTATTAGTAACAAACGCGTATCACTATCGCGATATGACATTTGCGAAAAACTATTTAATCTATGTGTACGCATATATTAATGCGAGGACGTATGTATTGTGATTTGTTTCGCAAATAAATTTAAAAAAATGTCTTAAGCATACTGCTTTCGCTATTCCCGTTGAAAGTATTATTATATATATTGATGTTCATTACTTTTGATGTTTTTTTTATTTCAACATGGGAAAGTTCAGCACGTACAGGTACTTAGAGGTATGTATTTTATCACGTAAATAAAAATCATAACAAAGTTTTTCAATTACGGTTGTGAAAAATTTAGTACATAGTAATTAGACATAGTAAGAAATATTATAATTTTAGTCATTGATTACTACAGTTCTTGTCAACTAACAATCTTAATCTTTTTTTATTGCTTTACTAATTCTAATTACAAACTTGTACACAGATTAACTAGCAAAAAATATTAATATTTATAAAAAAATGGGATACTTTCATATGATAAATTTCAATAAAAAAACACTAATATCTCACTCTCTTCTCTAAATACACATAGGGTTTACTATTATAATATAATAGTGTAATGTTAATACTGAGGATAATATTGTCTTAAATAAAACTTGTTTATATCCACAAATGTGGTATGGTACTTATCCCTTTTTAGGGGTTTCTACTTAGAATTTTATAAAGTACAATAGTTGAAAAAAGAACATTAATAATCAAGGTAACATTGTATGTATTTCAACAAATCTGTTAAAGAAAAAAAATTGTGACTATCTTATGTGAAGAAATTTGATAAAATGCCAACAACATGTTGTATGTGGTTGCTAAAAATAAATTGAAGTAAGATATTTCAACCTTTCTGCATGCAATATTACATTAAAAAAAGTAAATAGCAAAGGATGTGAATAAAATATGTGAATATACACATTTTAAGGGGTCTTTTCTTTTTTCTACATAATTCCCATCTATGAATACTTTCATAATGCAAGAAAACAATATATATATTCTTAATTTAAAAGTAAAATCATCTTACCTTAAGTGATTTGAATATCTTCTGTATAGTTAATGCACAGACAGTGTAGTATTTTAAGTGTACAACTACATTTTTACACATTTTTTAAATCTGAGAGCATTAATTTCTTTCTACCCACATGTTATTTTTTTCTGCGTTCAGAAACTTGAATTTTATTTGTAGGCAATCTACCTGGTTCTAGTTTTAAATTTCAGATTGTAGCATACTAAAAATGACTTTATTACCATTTGCTTAGTTTATAGTATTATAAGTTTCATAAATTATGTTCAATTTAATAACTATTTGTGAATATTTTTAGTTGCTCAGTTGAATTTTAGTAGATGTGTCATGACCTTTTTCCTGTATTTTATGTTTTGTGTAGTATTTTTATTAATTTTTTTTTAAATGTTTACTTTTCAGTTAATAGATGATTCCTCAGCCCCACATATCAACGTTAGAAGTAGAGCAATAAAGAACCCTAGAAGATTGAAGAAAGTGTTTATATTCCTCATTATATTGGCAATATTTGTTACATATTTCTTGGGTAAGTACTCGATAGACCAACTGTATTATTAATTTACATTCATACAGTTACAATACAAATATTATAAGGTGTTTTGTTTTGTTACTTTTTTAATAAAAACAGACTGTGTTTTTCACAACACTATTTATCAACACATACATGTAAGTGGTAAAACAAGACAGAATGTTACAAAAACAGCATTATGTTTAATTAATATTTAAATTAAAATTTGTTTTTATATTAGAAATTTATTAATAGGTACTTAAGTTTGTCTTATAAATATCAACTGTTTGAGATATTGTATCTCGGTTATATTATAGGGAGGACCAACTGAGGATTTCTTGACTCATTGTTACTTCACTTTCATGACTGCTAGTCATTTCGAGATAGCAGAGAATAATAGTCATTATGTCTTCTGATGATATGGTCATTTTTCAATTACATTTTATTCCTCACACCCCTAATTCTTGCATCTCTAAATTTATAAGTGGACCTCAAAGACTGACATAAACCTTTTTTTAGTCCATGTGTACCAAACTAAATCTCTCAGGTAATATTCAAAATACTCAAGGTGCTGGGCAATACATAATATCTATATATGTGCGTGTACATTCATATCAACAAAATCTAAACACAATAAATCCATTACTTAGCTTTATGTACCATGATAATGTTAACAATTACATTACGTTTATGTGTGTTTTTAGTTATGTTATTTTGATGATAAGAAATAAGTGGTGATTAAAATGTACTATTACTATTACACCAAAATACTTTATGCTTACATATACTGTATTAATTATACTTAAAAATACCAGCTGACCTATGCATCTTCATCTGCCTCTCTCAAAATGTATAAATTTTCTCTGATTTTGCAACATTTTTCATTGATGCTCGGCCCCTATTGATCGTAGCGTGATATGAAATAGCCTTTCTATATAAGTAGGCTATCAAACACTTTTCAAAAAAATATATATTTCCAAATAGTGGTTCCTAAGATCAATTTTATAATATAAGTAGGAATAGATTGTTCGTCTGGTAACGGATTAAGAATACAGAGTGTGACCATCCCTATAGATTCTGTGGGTGTCGTAACAGCAGACTAATGAAGAAACTATGCAGGACAACAGCACTCTTGAATCGAACCCTATACCAACCCGTCTGGACAGCGTGGTAAATTAGGCCAAAGCCTCCTTTCTTAGGGGATGCTTATGTCCATCAGTGGACTAGTAAAGGCTGTTGATGGTGATGATGATAGATTATTGTTTTTGTTTAATATTTAACAAATTCATTTACTTTTAAGTGTTTTGTCTTATGTTGATGACCAGTTAAACTTGAACTACCATTGTATAAACTTGGAATTGATGACCCATCAACATATAATAGACACCTATTAGCGAGGTAGGTTGTTGCAATCAAAAAGCATAATACATTACATACATTACATACACAAACTAATTAAAAATGATTAAAAACAGTTATCTTTTCATGTCATTATATAATATAGATTGTTTATCTTATCTTATCTACTCACAATGTGTGACTGTCTTCACGAGTAAAGGAGGATTTGCAACTCAACTTGTCAAATTTATAAGATGTTTATAAAAATAAAATAATGTAGAAAAAAAATGATATTTTGGAAATAACGTAAAACGAAATTTTCGAATTATTTAACATTTTGTAGACTAACCAATTTGAACTGCATCTGGGTTTAAACAGTTAATTATTGTGCAATTTATTGCGGGTCACGGCTACGATGCATGACAGAATCGATCGCATCAATGTGTCTTTACGTGGCAAAAAAATTCAATAGATTTTAAAAAATATGGATCAAATATCTGATCCATGATCAAAATATTTGGTGGTGTTTTTTTTTTCTAAGTAATCGATAAATCCTTCGAGCGTGACTTTCGGCTGGTCTCGAGGAAATTAAATCTATATTAAATGTTCACGGTCAATGATATATAACTGTATGTACATAGGTATATTTGAATTAACGCTGTCTGAGAGTTAGCGTGTGGACATAGCCATTACAAGTTGGTCCATACATTTGAAAGTTCGAAGGTATATAATACCTGTTATTTGACCGCGGAAATTTTATACCTAGGAGAGCTACAGAAAACCGGTTTAAAGCAATTCTTAGTTCATCGAGTGAAGGAGGTTACCGGACCTCACTCCTCACTCTAAGCCGGAGGGAGAGGTAGCATTTAAATGCGACAAATCACTTGTGACTCTTGGGTCAGTTGGTTGTTAAATATAAATTATTTAAAAAACAAAACGGCATGAGGGGTGTATGGACCCCCGTTCTGGACGAAGTTTCTTTCGGCAATAAGTGTCGGAAAAAAGGCCTTTTTACACATTTTTCGGTCTCGCTCCCATCCGCTCAGAAATTGTAACGCGCGATAAGGAACTTCGTTCCAAAAATAAAAAATAAGTGTGAATTCTGTTCTGCAACGGATTAGTTAAGTTATTGTTTCTTTATCTTCAGTTTCAAGGCTGTTTACTAACAGTCTGCGTTATTGAAACAATGTTTGCGGTTAGTTTGCGTCGAGAAATGTTCCACTTAACTACACAATGTATGACGTTTCAAACAAATGTTTCTCTCACTTATAAAGGGAGTTTGTATAATACTGTATTCACCAACATCCTTTATTAGTCCCCTGCTGGACAAAGGCCTCTCCTTACAAAGGAGGTTTTTTTGGTCTACTATACCTCGCTGGCCAGACGGGTTCCTTCTTTTGGCAGTCCTGCGTAGTTTGCTCCCTTAGTCGGCTCTCACCCACGGGATGAATAGGAGTGGCGACACTCTGTATTCTTAATCCGTCACCACACGGATTAATAGTGTATAACATATGCTTAAATCGGATTTTGTTCATATTGTTTTTTCCATCAGTCCCCAGTCCAATTTCAATTTTTAAATGCATATATATTATGCATAGTCTGAAAACAGCTTATTGGCAACAACGCGTGAGTAAGCAGTAATCCTAACCGTACCGTAATCCTAAACGTACCAAAAAATCAAATTATAAATCACACCGGATTCTCACAGTTCACTGTGATTTTGTGATATGATGAAATGATTGGCTATAGTCACAGCGATTTCAGTGAATGTGATTTCGTCATAGACAAATTTAAATGCCATTAAAATCAATCAAAATTCTTTTAATCAAAGATTACGATTTTTTTAAAGATTTAGATCTTTGGCGAGTCTTGCACTAGCGTAATAATAATAAGTCTCCTTGGTTTTGTAAATCAGTCGCAGGTGTGATTATATAATAAATAATCGTATGACTTGTCACATGAGATTTTATTCCATTCCTACAACGCACTTATGACTCTGTGGGTTACAGGTGTAGCCTAGGCGGCCGCTGCTGGTTTTTAATATTTTTTTAAAATGAAATTGAAGTATGTGTCCCTTATGTCAGGTCTCCCTGAATATAGAAACATTATGGCAATTCTTTATCTTGTCCAGTAATCTGTAATAAACTCCCTCCAACAATATCTTACCGTTCGTAATTAGTTCCTATTTCCTGATAATATCGTTTAAAGTATTTATTTCATAATCTACTAAAGATTATAACTGGTTATTACCGACACGATATTTATATAAACAGTTTCGCACAATCGCTATGTGCCTAATTATCAGATAGAATATAACCAATTTTAACGTATGATTGGCTATATGCCAAGTTTAATTTGTCATTACGGTATTAATAATCTTTTGAAAAAAGAAAGTCAAAATGGGTTCCCTTAATGTAGCAGAATCTTGATGCTCCGAAATTTATTTTGCATAACACCTACCACCATAACACACTAGGCAGAATCTTCGTTAAACGAATATTTTTAAGGCATAGAAATTATTAAGTATAATTATGGTTTGGCCGAATGTTTATGTGTCCGAATTAACAATGGCATATTTTTAAGATGGCATAATTTTATTTAACGTAATTACCTTTAGCACATTTAAAATTCCGCATATTTTCGTTTAGCATAACGTTTTTTAGAGCGCCGATTATTTGTTACAATTTAATTTGGAAGAATTTTATTAGGCATATTGACGTAAAATAGCATTATTAACCCTAAATTAAAATATTTTCTTAAAAAGTCAAATGTCCTGCTACAAAAATTTGTGTCAGAAACGAATCGCTGCAAAACCGACTCTACGTAGTCTTGTCTACCCTATCTCTAGAGTGAAATTTAAGCCCGCGGAGCGTTGTATTCATCTGCGACGATAAACTCGCGTGGGACCGCCGCAGCCCCGCAGCACCGAAGCCAGGACAGATATGCTGCATGCTGTATTCTTGCTTGCATGCTGCATGCTTGCTGGCTTTATTATTATGGTGCGAAATACAAAATGATGGATAGAGAGTCTTTCAATTATTATAGATATGAAATGTATGCCAAAAGATGATACTCACTGTAAACTTCCTGAGAATAGTTCTGCCTTTAAATGACTATCGATATGAAATTTATGCTCAAAGACGATTCTGACCATGTGCTTTCGGCGATATGATGGTTCTACTTTTTAATTATTATGGATATGAAATTTATGAGAATTTATGATAAATGAGTGTCTGCCAAACGATTTTCAGCAAAATGAAGTTTATGCTATCCGTTTTTATGCAAAATAATATTATGACATAAAAAGTTCTGTTATAAAGGGTAGACCCAGTTTGAATAATGGCTCATAGTTGACTTTTAGAATATAGCTAGAAAAGCGCGAGATTTCCTTAGAAGACATTGACTACGTCACAAACACATTACGCCACCCCTTGTCACCAAGCGTGTTATTTTGTTATTTGGGAGAGGGGTGATTACTGGAAGTCGACGAGTTGAATTTATTGCTAGGAGTGCTTTATATGAATGGTTGCAATAAAATGGGTCATTATTTGTGATAGAACTATTTATAACTAATTTTGTATTTAATTTAAAAATATAACTAAATTTTAATTTTGTAAAATATTTTATTAAGAGTTTAAAAACAAAAGCTTAGATTCTCACGAAGAAATCTCTGACACAATTTCGTAATATATTTTATAAATAGTTGAATAAAGAACTATTATTCAATTTTACAGCTGGAGATTACAGGCGTCAATTATTAGTTTTTTTATTGCGTTTAAATTAGTAGTGAAATTCAGGTCTTTAGAGATTAATATACAACAAAGGCTACACATTTGAGATAATTCGTGCGAAACTAGTACCTACAAACATGTAGCAAACATACCAGTACACAATACATACCAGTACACAATACATACCAATACAATAGGTATTTACAACATGTACCAAGTTTATCAATTTTAATTTATGGAAATTGTACAACTCGTAAAATTCCTATCGGTTATTTTTTCGTTTAACAAGTTTAAACCAAACAAGTAATAATTGAATTGAAAAAACCTATATATTAAGGTTATAACAACCTGGCTTTATATTAAAAAACTGTGAATAGCTAGATCAATTTAACAAATTCTTGCATATTATATTAATATTTGTTGTAGAAAAAAAAAAAGAAATTGGAAAGTTTGCCGGCAAATTGGGCAAATTGATTTTTTTGTTCTAGAATTCGACCCATTATAATATTTGTTAAAAATAGTGTCTGTTAAACATAGTGCAAATTAAATTTTTGAGGCAAATAAATTGGTAAGTTATCGCAATTGGAGATTAAGGGCAAACTGGAAGTACCTTACTTTAATATTTTTTTTCAAAGAATAAAAATAATCGTACAGATTTTGTAATGTCTACGAATAGACAACATCTGTTGGTTAAACTAGTATGCAATATAAAGCGTATTTGCATTTTAATGGCTGCATTAAAAGATTTTAAACAGTTTTCCTTTTTACATAAATTTTCTCATTCACGGCTCATTCAGCGAGGTGCCTCTGTATATTGCTGTAAGTTATATGGTGGTCCTGTTACAAATTAATTTTACAGAGAGATATATTTCGGAGTATGCCAGTGGAATATCAGTAAGAAATGGCCAATGGAACAGTAAAGTTAGTGCGTACATTTCCTATACTTATTACAGGTATATTTTGTTCTTAGATTATATAAAATAGTATCGTGTAAATTGTTTTATTATAGCGTTTTTAGTGCTATGTTTTGTTGTACGTATACAGTATGGTTGTGTATTGCTAATTAGGTAGCCAAAATTTAGTTAATATCTTTGATTGATGAGTGTTAAATGACGTCAAAATATAGTTGACGTAGACAAATATGAGAGACGTGTAGCCGAGATAAGAGTTGAGACACGGATTTCTTTTTCATGTCTGAGGCACATCCCGGGGTGACTGTAGTCACCCTGGGGCGGGAGGCTGCCGCGCCTTTCACTGCTCTATACAGTAGGAGGCGCAACAGCGACGCGCCATGGACAACACCCCCCCGGCTGCACCGGAGTGTCATCTGTCTCGTGTCGTTTGCAGCGGCCACATGTGTACGAAAAGGCCCTGTGTGATCGGTACAGTGTCGCAACGGCATTTAGCGTAATACCCATTCTAAAACCATAGCGAGAGGACGCTTCTTTCTTAAAAAAATGGACCCAAGCAACTTATAAATTGAAAATTTGTTGAAGCTAATATTGACGATTAGCCGTTTTTAAATAAAAGTATATTAAACATAATATACCATACAAGCAGTTTGGGACTACGATATTATACTTACTTACGCTATCAGACTCATGCAATTCTTCAAGTACATAAACATTATATACATATATTTAGAGTAAGTTTAGTTTAAGTTAGAGTAAGCGCAAATCTGTATCACAAACCGTTAAGCTCTTTATGCACACTGGAGTACAAACATACATATGTAGGTATATACTAATTATGAATCAAACTGCAGGCAAGATACAATTTGCATTAAATTTGTATTTGGATTAAAAAGGTTGCAATATCCAGTTTAATTAAAATACTCGTATGTGTGACATCAACAGAGTTTCGTTCCAAATGTTATAATGATGAGTGGTATAAAACCATACCACAGTCATGTAATACCTAATAAAGGATTGAAATTAATTTTTATAAAGCATGAACGAAGAACACGTCAGCCTTCGAAGAGTATTTATATTAAGTAACTTACTGTTATATAAAATACTAAATATGTAAGTTTGTTTTACCAATATATTAACATGTCTGTAAGTTACTAAAATCGTAAGCTGTTAACGTTGTACTGTACAGAGACTTACAAGAGTAACAAAGTTATGCAACGAAACTGCTTTTAAAAAAAAGTGCCCCTTGCTAGGTTTTGAAAGGGCCGCCATATACGTCGCTTAAAACGTTGTTTAGAAAAGTGTGTCATTTTGGTTTCAAACCGCTGGTACTGTTAGTTGTCTCTCAGTTATTGTGCAGTAAAATTTCAAAATCCTAACAGTATGTGTCACTAGTTTAAAGTCAATCAATAAAATCGTTATATATTACGGGTGTGAAAAAATCAATAATTTACAAATGATGATTCGGTTGCTTAACAGATTAAATTGACAACCTGTCAGTTACGACTATTGACAAGGCGTGTATTTAAAGGAGTTTTGACTATAAACTACTGAAGGCGGCAAATAAGTTGATCAGTTTGATATCATGCTAATTTTTTTAGTATGTTTAGTCTGCGGTGTGGTAAAAGCTGTCTTATGTACGTTTTTTTTTAAATACAGTGTATTATTATTACAAAAGGTGTATCCAGGCTGACATTTATAGTAAATATATTGGTTCATATATACAAATACTTGCAGTGAGTTGGATCAAACCCTGTGATCTCTTACATAGTAGGCCAATGCTTGGATTAGTAGCAAGTTCTCATAAACGCAAACTTGTCACGCTGGCACGACTCGTCATAAACGCGCCTTGTCATTTTCGCAACTCTTTATTTTCGCTTGTCGACATTTTCGCATCTCGACATTTTCGCATATCGACATTTTCGCATCTCGTCATTTTCGCAACTTATACGAACCTTAAGGAATGCTTTACCGAAAATGACCGTCGGATCTTAACATGTTAACAGTGCAGGTATAAATCTGAAAATGACGCCTCACGTGCAAACAAGACGTATAAAATACGAAAAAGAAAAATAAACAACCTCTAATCGTTCTTTAAGTACATTTTACGTAGACCACATGTGGTGCACTCACGTGCATGCTATAGATTTAAAGATCTTCATTACAAAACACGAGTTAAAAGTACTAAAGAGCGCGCAGAAAAATTTGTGATAGTTAAAACAAAAATGTGGGTAAAATTATTGTGGGATTAGTAGGTACGGAGGGTAAAGCGGGTATGAGTAAAAAGTTTTCAAAACTGTAACAAGTCTATGTATTCGTGATGCTCCACTGATAGCAAGTGCTCTTGATTAGTTATTTTTGGTTTTTATCATTCCCTTTTATAATTTATTTAAACTATTTGATGATCTCAAAGCCCGTCCACTCGCCGCCATTCACTATAATTATGAGAGCGGCAAGCTCACCTGCCCACTCTGTGCAAGGGAGTTTGCTGCGAAAATCGGCTATATAAGCCATCTCCGGGCGCATCAGCGCCAGGTCCCATAAGGGGTCGAAGTGGTCGCCATGGCCGAAATCGATCGGATTACATCATCATCATCATCATCAAACTATTTCCTATTAATATTTTGTTTTCATTTTCAACCTCGATTGCCTAGCAACACTGACGAAAATTCGGTCGGTTTTTTTGGCATTTTACTGTATGGTTCATTGATCATACGTGTATGTCAAAAAATATTGGTGTAGTGGACACATGCAAACTTAAAAAAAGCATTCAATTTAGATAGACTCGTGGCCCATTTGTTGTGTACCACATGTGGTACATGCACTGTGAACATGTTAATTTCGTTTACAAGTTAGAGCAAATGTCTATTGAACTAGTCTGTAAACAAGTTTTAGCTGTAGGGACGCAGTATCAGAAATATACTAACGAAATGTGGTTATTAATATATTATATTTACATATATCTTTTCCACAGACAACAAAAAAGACTAAATAGAAAAACATAATGAAATGTAGCAAGAGTATTTAGTATGAGTATATGCAAAGTAGTAATAAATTGTATTCAGTTTAAGTCTAGTCAAATACCAGTATACATTGCATTTGCAATTCTGTCAGTCAATACAAGTATTTAAAACAAAGAAATTTATCAGCTCGTGATAAAATAAGTTTTGCATTTTGTATTTTTATTTGCCAATGATGCGGGTACAGGTCTTTTTAGTTTTACTTCAACCATTTTACGTGAATTGTTTGATTATAGGGTTATTTGCTGGCCAGTCGCAATGGTTGGACGGTCTCGCCAAGACGCTTGGATACGAGAGCGTGTATCACCACGCGGTTATAATCGATGCCGGCTCTTCGGGTTCCAGGGTCCTTTCTTACAAATTTCGAGTACCTTTTACAGGTGAGTTTTTAAATTATTTTCTGTGTTATTTTTAGTTATTATTAGGTCATTGGTTTTACTCAAGCTTGGTAACTAAATAAAGTCTCAAATAAAGGCATGAACATTTTATCTTTTTACAATTTTCCGTAATTTTAGACGCCTAAAAACCTTTGCTACTAATTAGAAGTTAAATATTTAAGAAAGCAAATCGGACCATGAATATAATATTATTTGGGTATCATCTTTATATTGCTAGAAATATTTTCTCATTTGTAGCTAAAAGCACACAGTATTTATGTAGACAAACTGCACTGATGGCGTAGTGGTTTAAGCGGTCGCCACGCCGCTCATTACCACGCTCAGTGTTGTGGGTCCGATCCCCACATGGGACGGCACTTTGTGTGATCTACAAATTGTTGTTCTGAGTCTGGATGTTCCCCGCGACACAGGATATGTTTCTAATTCGGGAGTTGTTTTTTTAGTAGGTAGTATTAGTAAACACTACCGATATTCTAATTGTTTGGTTAGGTAGTATTTGATAGTATTTGTAAGCCTTATCAGTTTAGTGAACATTTTCATACAAATATGATGTCAGTTGCCTTTGAGTCGACTCCATAATGTCATTCCACAAATACCATTATAAATGTCTTTTTTTAAATAACAGTTATTATGAATAATTGTTATTTACCATTACAAATTAGATTTCTTTTGAACTACCATGAAGGTGTGTCTTTGTTTCTGTAAATTCAATTTTTTGTTTATGACAAAAATACATATTTATCGTAGTTGCCAAGGGCAAGGTGCGAGCCGAAGTAGAATTTGACAAGTTTTTCTTGATGATAAAAGGTCCAACATATTTTTCACAATGTGTATGTAAAATTTAGAAGCGTCAATGCTAGCCTCCATGAGCGCTTGCCTGTAGGCGGTGGTCAGGGCTATCTATCGGCCTAGCAAAAGCAGGCCTGAGACGGAGGGACACGCCAATCACGGTCATTTGTGGAAAGATAAGGTGGGACCGTTTGGCTCCAGTGGGATGATGACCTGGGGTCCCTCCAGGTGTATGTCGGCTATTGCGCTACAGGTAGTCTATGTCCTGCCTCAAGACTCGTCGACTCGTACTCGGTTCAGCTGTTTTACCGTGAGAGCGTAACAGACAGAGTTACTTTCTCATTTATATTAATAGTAGTGTTTATAACATTTATTTATATTCAAGTATATTCGTATTAGCGATTTTTACAATACTAATTCTATGAAAATGTGAGCGTCTGGTCGTGGTCTCGGGTATTTATACATCAAAATTTCTTAAAATATTATAGTGGTTCCATTCTGATGAATTGCAAATAATTTCAGCCACAAAAATAAATACATTCCGTAAGTGATCATTTTTATCGATTATTTTCGTTTTTGTTCGCTGCTTTCATTAGGATTTCCTTTTTATTTTAAGTTTTTTTTTATAATAAGACTACTACTACTTATGAGACATGTTCAGTGGCCGATTTACCAGTACGCTGGAGCCCAGGGAAGCAAATTTGGTTCAATTTTTTTTTTCTTCTTGTGAGAGATGATAGTTTGGATTTAAGTTTTGACATGGGGTCCAGGGCTAGGCCTTCCAGTACTTGGAACGGATCCGTAGATCAGCCGCCGCTGACTTCGCATCCGTGACGAGTAGAACATCATTCATGTTCTCCCCGTCGTTTCCGGACAAGGAGACCTTCCACGGGATGTGTATTCCACCCGATTTCTGAAAAGACCCTCAACCACTTAATGCAGGAAGCTGGGCTGGAGAGTCTCCGAAAGCGCGGTTTTATCGCACCGCGCGACAAAGGCGACCACGATCGAGACCGTCCAGCATCTCCATTCGGTTTGGACAGCCCTGAACTAGGGCATTGAATTGAGGGTCTGGATCTCTTAGTAACAGCTGTTCGCGGAATCTTTCTATTTCCGCCGCAAATCTCGGTGGAGTAAGGCCCGGGTTTCATAACTTAGAAAAAGGGAATTGCAGAGGTTAGAAGGGGCGGCAAAAATGTAATAGCCCACTGGCGGCAAATTTGTAAATCCGCCACTGGACGTGTTTTAGGGACAGGCTAGTCGTTATCTCGTTCTGAAATAAACTTTTTTAGTTGTTTAGTTACGAGTATTATGAAACATACGAAACCAATATTTATTTCGTTAAGATAAACGCTTTTACTCACGTGTATGTCTATTTAGGGAATGTTCTACTAGTTTCGGTACAGTTTATCATGATTTACTCAATCCCGGCAGGACGTATCACTCCTTTAAAAAGGGCCTCCGAGAGTAGTCGGTCATCCTCGAACACACTTGAGTAAAGAGGAGCAAGTTGGGGGGGAGAGAAAGGTTAGTTGTGCCTCCGGTAACTTCCCTCACTCTGTGAAAAGCGACAATAGAATTGCTTAACAGAAACGAACTACTCAGCTCTGGTTTATTTTAAAAAAGATTAAATTTTTGTATTACTATAAAATCTTATGAGTACCCTTGTCAATTTGTTTAAGCATATGAAAGCAAGGTTTTTAAAGTATGTGATAATGTTGTTTCAGTATTTGGCCGAGCTAACTTGGACTTAGTAGATGAATATTTCGAACAGTCGAAGCCTGGATTGTCGTCATACGCCGACGACCCAGAAAAGGTAACATAAATTTATAATTTTACTGCTTTTGCCTATTGTAGAGGTCACGGGATCGATTCCTGGCTTATAGTCTTCTTTTTCTTAACACTAAACAGTGATTATCTAGTGAGGACACTTAGTTCTAGTACCAATTCTGCTCCAACAGCCTGCAGGTAACTTGTAAAACCATATACCTACATGTTTATATTTTTAAACTAGCTGAGACCCGCGGTGTTACCCGCGTTTGTTGTTATAACCGCGGGCAACGCCGCGGGGCGAAGCTAGTCTAAAAAAGTAGCCTAAGTTACTCCTTATGTCATCAGCTATCTGCAAGTAATGGTCCCGTCGAAATCGGTCCAGCCGTTCCAGAGATTACCCGGAACAAACAGACAGACAGACAGACAAAAATTGTAAAAAATGTTATTTTGGCATATGTACCGTGTAAACATACATATGCATTTAGTGAAAAGCGGTTATTTGAATATTACAAACAGACACTCCAATTTTATATACATAATAATAATAATAAATGCATCTGTCTTAGACATGGAAATTATTGCTACTTTTAAATCATGTTCATATGCGGAAATGATTGGTTACAGTGACAGCGATTTCGCCTGGGATTGTGATTTGGGTATTGACAAAGATAAATGTCATTATAATCATTCAAAAATATTCTTATCAAAGATATACGACCTTTTTTTTAGATTTCGAACTTTTCGCAAGTCAGTCTCTAGCGTAATAATACTAACTCGCAGTGGTTTTGTAAATTAGTCGCAGTTGTGATTAAATGATTTATAAATTATATGATTGATCAATGCGATTGTGATTTTATTCCATGCCTAATCTGTCTAATATATTTTCAGGGCGCGGATACTATAGTGCAATTAATAAAAAAGGCGGAGTTTCTCACTCCACCAGAGAAGCGTCGTAACACTATGCTCATAGTGAGAGCCACTGCAGGGCTAAGGTTGCTCCCCGCTGATAAGGCACAGCAGCTGATCACACATGTTTATGCAGCTATATCGAAGTGAGTTCATACCTTTATTCGATTTTTTTAGACCATATATAAATTTGTCGAGATAAATGTAATTATATACTAATTATATTAAGTATTGATTTCTTCTCATTTCGTGTTTCTAACTTTGAACTTGACGAGCTTCCTTTGAGGTTAAATAATAATAAATAAATTTAAGAATACATTCAAGAAGCCCAATACAAACATTATTCAATGGTATTAACAATTTTTATAACATGGAATAATCTTTATTGTACACCAATTCATTATATTATACATACAATATTCCAAGTTAATGACCATGTACAAATGACATATGTAATGATGGCTAAGAATTTTGCATAAAATCTTGTACTCTTGACACTTAAACTCGTCCTGTATCTTAGGCGATATAACCAAAAATCATTTCTTAGTAGGTGCTTACGTCATAATAGGCATCAGCTTTCAAATTTGTAGTCCCAGCGGTTTAGGCTCTACGTTGATCAATCAGTCAGATTTTTTAATGTTTAGATTATGGACAGTGATTGTTCCATAATGTATCTGGTTATAAATAGTTAGGCCTGAGTTTGTTATTTGATGTGTAATATCTATGTATCACACCTACTACCATCTAACGGCTTACTATAAAACCGCGCGCGCTCATTGGTCAAATTAAATACCCCGCGCTCTTCTGTAACATACTTCCGTCCCTGTAACACTCACAGATTGCAGGAAAGCGAAAGAAAGGGAGACTATATCAAAAATAATATCAATTATGTATTATTATCGTAGCACAAGAATATTTAACTTTAATTTATCCAGATTTTTATTTCAAAGTTGGTGGAATATAAAAACATATGTATTTATAAAATTTGTTTTAGGTTAGGCTATGATGTTGGTCCCGACAGTGTCAAGATCATGGATGGTTCCGACGAAGGGATCTTCATTTGGTACACCGTCAATCTGTTACATAGTGAGTACAGATATATTATATCTATCGGCAGGTCATTTATTAGTTTTAGAAATTTTAATTATAATAATAATTAAAATTTCAGAGGCTTACGTTAGGCAGGTAGTGGTTGGCGACCCTAACTGCTAAGCTGGAGGTCGTGGGTTTAATTCCCACCCGGGATAATTGTGTGATGAGCACGATCATTTGTTCTGTGTTGGGGTGTAGTTTATCTAAACATCTATACAAATAAATAAAATTGAAGTGTCTGTTTGTGTAATGTTTTTTTTTTCATGCTCACACGGGTATTTGCACGATACCTAGGCCTAAAAACTAGTTTCAATTTTAAAACTGGACCGATTTTGATAATATTTTACTGCCAGGTAGCTGTCTATGTAATGAGTAACCTAGGCAATTTTTTCTCTCAGAAAAACCCTATAACATTTAACATGGTCCCTGAATCGAACCCGAGAACTCATGGACTGTATCCCGAATCCTCTGCAATAGACTCACTTGTGACTGAACACTATGTGGTTTTAGTCAGGTTGAGTCCGATATATCACTTTATTCTCGATTCTGGTGAGCTTTGGACATCTTTAACAGTAACACTATAAAAATCATCATATTATATTAAACACGGTAAATCATACACATAGGGGATATAAATTTGTAACGTGTTGGTATTACCTGAAAAAATAAATATATTATTATTACCTCAAGTTCTGTTTCAGTAGAGGTTTTTATGAATCCGCAAATTGGTACTTGTCTCCAGATCTTATGGGTGGCGACACAATGGCTGCATTAGATTTAGGCGGGGGCTCCACACAGATCACGTACCAGCTGAGCGAAGGGGACTACCCGCTGTACCCGGCCAACGACCAGTACGTCGTGGCAGCGGGGAACAACATCACCTTGTACACACACAGGTGAGATACGATTCGATGCGGGTTTGATTCCCCGTCGGACTAAATGTTTATATGATCTGCATATATTTGTTTCGGAGTTTGGGTGTTTTCTATGTATAATATGTAAGGATTTACACAAAAGCAAGGTATTCTATCAGTCAATCTAGCTTTCAAAGTTGACATACACATAGTTTGACGACCGGTTTGTGTATCGGACTGCCAAACATTTGCGCGCTGCTTGAACATTTAATGTTTTTATTATTCTATTGATTTAATTATTGGTTCCAGCTACCTGAACCTCGGACTTCTAGCCGCTCGTTACGGCGTGTTCCGTATGGAAGCCGAAGACAATAACACGTCAGAGTTCGTTTCAATTTGTGTCGATCCCATCGTACAAAAAGAGTCCTGGACTTATGGCAATAAACAATATTCCATCAGGTTAGTTGATCACAATCTATTAATAGTTTTCCATTTTGAGCAACGTAATATAAGCATAGAAATTTATAGACAGTTAGAGACGGTTTTCACATACATGGTGTTAAAATAGAAGTAATATTCAGTTTCCAGACTTTCGGTGGATCTTTCAAGTGTTATAACTTTTAGTTCAGTATCTAAAAAGTTGATTTTAATAATAATAAATAAAACTAAATTATTCCAAGATGTTCTGTACATCTATAATACGCATTCCTGGAATAATTTAGTACTGTAGTACAGGATCAGCATTCAGTTTCGGCTATAGCTAAATAATAGTGGTCCAAGGATGATGCCCTGTGGCATACCCGCATGCCCCTAGAAAAATGATAGTGTAAATAGCCTTGTTTTTCTGACAGAAAGTTAATAATGTCCACCTGTCAATTAATGTATATCATTGTTCATAACAATTCTGTAACAGTTTGAAAACGACAACGAACGTCAAAACCATGTTCACACACTCAAAAGCTTTAGAGAGTTCTAAAATAAATATATCTGTCTACGATTTTTTGTATGTAGTGGGGCCAAACGTGAGAACAGTATGAAGCGCATGACGGTGTACAAGGCGTGTCACGCGCTGGTGAAGCGCTACGTGCTGGCGACGCTGGACTGGGAGCCGCCGCACGCGCCGCGCGGGACTCGCGCCGCCATGAGCTACTTCTACGAGGTCGCCGCAGACGCTGGCATCATAGGTCAGTCGGTCAACAAGCTAGCGGTGCTACGCTGACTAACTTACTATGTTAGATTAGTCAGCAAAGCGCTTATCTAGGGCCCGAATGAAAACCATCCTGTTTCATATACCGTTTCAAAACCTTAATAGTTGATGCTAAATTATTAAATTTTTTATTTTACTAGTATTGAACGGTATAAATACCGGCTTCTTTAAATATATTTCTAGTACTACTTACTACTCCAACTAAGGCAAATTGTATTAAGAGTATTTTCACATCGACACTGTACTGCACTTCGAATTTGCAACCAGTGTTGCATTACTTCGGCAATCCTTAATCAGGTTAGGTAACTAAATTCGAGCTCTTATTTGACAGACGTGATGACGGGTGGAGTGGTGACGGTGTCCGCTTACCGCTCGAGCGCGGTACGCGCTTGCTCGGCGGCCAACGTGGAGCAGCCCTGGGCCTGCATCGACCTCGTCTATATCGTCAGTCTTCTGCAGGACGCGTACAAGATCGGGGACAACGAACCTATCTCAGTATGTATCAAAACTGTTCAAAATATTTAAAAGTACAAAAAAAACCTTTCCTAAATATACATAAATTGATTAACATATAATGTTAACTAATTTTCATAACTTATTTAATCTCTAATTTATTCTGGCGAGCGTGGTATAGTAGGCCATATCCTCCTCGCTAAGGAGAGGCCTTTATCCAGCAGTAGCCTATTGAAGGTTGTTGATGATGATGAATATTCTCATTTACTTTCGCGGTATCTGTTCCTATGGTCTGCTATAAGATACGAATACTTAATTGTTTCCAGTATCCTTTTTTTTTTTTCGTGCGGAAATCCCCTCGGATACCACCTGTCGGTGGCATGTCGGACTCGAACCGACTAAAACCGCACGCCGTCTCGGGTACTAATAGCCGGGGAACCAGGTATACCCTAGAAAGGAAGTCCCTGGTGTCCCGACATACCTCGGGTCATCTACAGACGAGTAGACGACCCACCCCGTGTGTTTACAGTATCCTGGTTTTATTAACAATGGTTTCCATTTTGCAGTTATTCAAAAAAATAAACGGTCACGAAGTGTCTTGGTCGCTAGGCCTGGCTTACACCAGCGTCATGAACAAACTGGCGGCTGCAGAGCCCTAGGGATCTACCTCGTATTACTAGTGAATGTCGACACGTGGGAAATGGACGCTGCCACTGACTACTGTTTTGTGACCTTAGGGATAGTGTGGACTGCAGAATTTCGTTAAATTATTTGTGATTGTTAAGGTTTAGATAAAGTTTGTACACACTAGTGTACATTAAACATTTTAGTTACGGTTGTACTCTTTTAATTTCTCCAAACTCAGTATTTGCCAATGCTTATTAACTTTAGAAGAAAGTTAACTTTTTCTTTTTAGATTACTTTGAGTAAGTACCTATTTTGTATAATTTCTATGTATATGTACACATTTAAAACATTTTATGTCTGTACACAGGTGTGTACAAAATATAATTATACACAATATATGGGTTGTATTTAGTTCACGCCATTGAGTTAGTCGATTAAGTTGTGAATAGTCTTTAGTAAGTCACTTTAGTGATATAAGCTCTGCAGTCCACACTATTCTCTTATAACTTCAAGTGATTTGAGCTGAAATAATTACCTCTACGGTACACTATATGTGATATAAATTATATGTATCAAAATTTTTCTATTTAGAAGTTAGTTTCTAAATTTGGAGTCACGATCTCTGGATGGGGTAAATGACCCGTGCCAACGACCCATTGACGACAGTTTGCCAAAACCATTGTAAACTTATTTTGCGAGCGTTCTGATAAAAGATTTTATTCTAACCTAAAAAAATCTGTTTGGAAAATAATTGTTATGGTAATAAGAGAAATCCATTAATCAATACAGATGACGATAATATTTACTGTAAAGTCTAACTGTCTAACTAAAACGGCGTAAAAAACAGGCAACTCTTAGAACTGTGATCCTATCGACTGCAGATTCAGTTTAAGCTTCCTGAAAAGCTTTAAATGAAGATGTCATCTCCAAAAGTAAAATTTGTTTTGTTTAAAACTTAGTTGATAATTTTAAAAATATATCTAGCAAGGCCGCAAGTAATACGCATTTTTAATGTAAAATAGGGCGCGTTTTTTTCGGTACACTGGTGTGTACAAGGTATAATATTACATTATACGTTATTTAGTTTAGTATATTATATTTCTGTGTTTACTTTAATAGTATTTACTTGTAATTTAGGGCATTTATTGAAGTGACTTAATTTTATGGACGCCATTTTGCATCAAAACTCATACATTTTGTTCACGTCGCGATTACATCAGTGAAAGGCTGTGATCTATTTTTAAATCCTCAGAAGATCGTGACTCCAAAGTGACTAAGAAACGATGAATTTATTCTGTCTATTCCACTATTTATGAATAATATTTGCTAAAAGCTGATATTAAATAAATATATATGTGTAAATATATATATTTGATTTAAGGCAATAGTTCAGCACACACTAGAATACTACTAACTATTTATTTCAAATTAATAATTAGTATAAGTTGCCAATTAGAAAAATGATCGAATAAAGTTGTCTATTTAGACGGCTTCGGGTATAGACAATTGTGTTTGTAATTGAATTGTGTTGCAAGATTTATTTAGGTCAAGATATCTACACAAAAACGCACTGCACTGACTATTAGTTTTCAATACAATTTTCATTTGGATTTTAAATCGGTTTCTCGTATTAAATAGCGAGTTTTTAAAGTATATACGATAAAAAACTATACCCTGTATTTTTCGTATGATAGTTGGTGTATTTTTAAATTTTATAGGCTTTTGTTACAGGCTGAATAAGTCGGGTACCAAAACACAAGGTTTTTGTAACCTTTATCCAAAATTCCTAAATTTTTCCAAACCATATCTACAAAATTCTTGTATTTCGACTTGCAACATTCTTTAAAAAATATGTACCTCTGTAGCAAAGTTTTTTCTTTCAAAATTGGCTAAATAAGGAAGGATTATTGGAATTTGTGTATTTCTTGTATTATTTCCCACAATTGATAAAACCGAATGATGTCTTTGTTTTTAGTTTTTTAACTTTATGGACTCTTATAAATATGGCCATACATGGATTTATATTAAATCCTTTCTTTATATTGACACGGAATAATAATTTATTTAATATACGCTAATTTTATTTACTCAAAGGTAACATTTTATGTAACGATATTACTTTATATCATTCTTTCCCATTTAAAAATGTATTATTTAATAAAGACATGTTTATGTCGATTAGCAAAATGACTCATTAACAAGAAGAATTGAATAATTATTTACTTTTGTTTATGTGTTCTGTACGAATGGTCCACACTCTCTTCTGTACTAGAAGAATATACACGACATAAGGGACATCGTAACGAATACTAAAATAGTGTATTCAGACCATCATTCTTAGTCTAAAATCATTGGAATTTTCTGCCGGAAAATTAAACTTTTTATGCAATCAGCTGTCAAAGGTAAAGGTCATTTCCCGTAGGTATCGCACAAAAGTAATAACTACATGTGTATCCTGTGCAAACAGTCTACGCACACTAACACAAGTTGGCGACCGGAGTTGAGACCCGCGCGCTTCGGCTGTTTGATGAATTACATTGCAGTTTTTGACCGTATGCGGTATTTATTCATTTGTTTTTTAACCAAAAAAAAAATTGAAAACTATAAAAACTATGAAGTTTCCGACAGAAAATGCCAATGAATTTCAACTGAGAATCATGGTCTGAATACACTATTTCAGTATTGGTTACCGTTCATGTCCCTTACAAACCTGTATAGGATTTCTTTTGATCTATTATATTGTCCACGTGGGGAGTGAAAATATACTCCTAATTGAAAATATACCCCTAACAGAAGCAAACTATGCAATGGTGAATAAGCAACAAGAAGGAAAATCTACATAATTAATACTGGCCCTCCTCAGTAAAACAAACAAAACAAAAAAAATCTTTTTAATATAAGTGTAGAGTGTGGACAATGTGTTAGAATTTGACAATTAATATGATTTTAATAAGGCAACTTTTGCTGTGTGGCCTGATGAAATTTAATTGAGATTTTTATTTATCACAATATGCTGTTTTACTGAAAAACATCCTTTCAGTGGTTTATACAAAGGAAAAAAATGCCACGTAGTTAGTCTATACATTTTTTGTATGATGAGAATGTAGCTATGAAGTTTGACAGCTAGATGGCGTTAGGTGTGCGTCTATAGATCATCAGTGTTCTAAATCACGCCATAAAGTTTTAAAACCAAGACTAGAGAAAAATCTGATGTATGCCTGTTGTGGTGTTTGCCTTAATACTAGATGAAAGACAAACCTTATTTTATTGAGTAGAATTCTTTTAATGTATGTGGTTTTTATGTACGAAGGGGAGTCTCTTTCGATGCTCAACAGAGTTACCTGTAGCGTGCTGTCCCATGCATATGATTTTATATGAAGATTTTTTAAGTTCCGGAACAGGGATATTAGGTTTTTAATCTCTTTCATAAGTTTTGAACCAATTTTGACCTCTTGAATCTAAGGCTACGTACGTGTACGTCGGTAACTGAAGCAATATTAAGATAGAATTAGATAATTTTGTTTGTTGACGTGCAAAAGACAGAGAAAAAACATGACTTCCGGGTTGTTTCTTTTTTATTTTCCGTCAAAGAAGGTTGTATGTGTGAATTTGTTTATTCAATGCGTATCATATAAGGTCTTATGATAAGCACTCTCCAAAAATATATTGAAATGCTATTTTTATGAAGACTATTGTTTTCCATTTTCTATGCAATATATAAAGTTTTGTAGCTTACTGTGCACTATTTAGGTATTAAGTACCTAGCCGATCTGGTCTTATTGGTGTCATTATGTAAATTGTACAAATTTAATAAATGTTGGATCTTGGAATTTATTGTTTTATTTGTGAGTTGTTTTGGTGTTTTAATGGTCCCAGAAAAAAGGACCGTTAAAAAATGCGTGAGACCTGGCTGGACACCACAAGTCTGTCTGTATGTGATTTCTGGCAAGTTCTTCTCCTCTCTCACTGCTGAGGATCGTGAACCGTTATAAAGTCATCCCTCAGACGATCGCTTTCCACGTCCTCAAGCTATCCGCACAGCAGTACGTATGGCTTTGCAGACCCTTTCACTCCGTATTCTTCTAGACACTCAGTTAATCCGTCACCACTCAAATTTATATTATATTCGTATACTATGAATATAAGAAAATCGGTTGGTGTACTATCATTACATGACATCCTTATCTCATTAAGGATGTCATGTAACTTATTTTTAAATACGTCACGGTTTGTGGGCATCCTGTCTTCAAGCGGGAGCGCATTCCACAGTGGAACTGCTTTAACGAAGAACGAAGAGTTCACGAAGTCGGAATTGTGAGAGGGACTTAAGAGAAGCAAATAATTTGCAGAGCGAAGATTTCTGTCGTGATTAGAAGACAAAACACGGAAGTTAAGAGCAAGGTAACTAGGATGGGAAGATAAGAAATGAAAAGGCGCAGGCGAATGGGTAGCCAATTAACTTGGGAACGTAAAGCAGACATTTGGTCATTGCAGTTTTTAAGGACAGCATTCAGGTCGAAGTAACATACATATGTTTAGTCGTTTAAAGAAATGATTTATTGCTGCATGAGAGTAGTTTTGGTTTTAGGAGGCAGGAAATTCTTGATATAGTGTTCGCAGGTTTCCAGTTACTTTCTGACTCACATGAGTAACCTGAGCTCGCCATTCAAGAGTTGAGTCAATGAGTAGACCCAGATCCTTGACTACGGGGCTAAGAGGTATTGGTTGTGGGCTTCGGTTTCCGCATTTAGACTCAAGAGTGGTCCTTTATGCATCAAGGAATGGTTAGCTAGGTGAGCCAAGAGAGCTCCTTCCAGAAGCGCAGAAGCCTCCTGGGGCGTTCACAGGCTTCTAGGAGCGATCTTGTCTCGGGAATGATACTTGCCCGTTGTACGGCCACTCCCTCGCATTCCAGGACTACGTGGGCGGCCGTTTCCTCTGCTTCCAGACATCCCCTGCACAGAGGGCTGTCCGTCGCATTGATGATGAATAGGTGTCGGTTCAGTGCTAGGTGTCCTGTTATAGTACCGACAACTATTCGAATTTCCTGTCTGCTAAGACTAATCAATCTGCAGGTGAGCCGTGGTGTGACTTGAGTCATCACCAGTTTGGACTGTCAGCAGCCGGGTGAGATTTTCCACCTCCGGCTGTGTGCTTCACGGGTCCGTTGCCAGGCCTAGAATCGTGTTTGGTTAAACGGTATTGGCAGGAGTATGGTTGGGCCGGTAGCTGGGGTTGCCGAACCCCTCCTTGCCAACTTATCTGCGGCATCGTTCCCGTGTGAGTTACTGTGCCCTTTAATCAATTGGATTAGTACCACATTTAATGTGGCAAGCTGCTCCAATGCTTGATGGCATTCGAGGATAATACTAGAGGTCATTGTGTTGCCCTCCAGTGCCTTTAGGACGGCCATGCTGTCGGATAGTATTCGGATGTTATAGTCCTTGATACCCCTTGTCATGGCCGTTGTGGCGGCGTAAGTTATTGCCACACACTCGCATTGGAATATGGAACTGTGTTGGCCTAACACGACGTGGCCTAACGAGAAAACTCCTGCTCCAGTTCCTGACCTAGTCTTGAAACCGTCCGTGTAAATTCGGACTTCATTAATGCCGGATTGATCTCGGTCATTTTCTCGCATCTGGATGTTTTATGTTTTTGTGAAGATGTGGTGCTTTGGGATTCTATCGCATGGGGCTGCTATTAGTGGTTCGTATTCCACCAATTGATCCCATAATTTGGAGTGCGATCGTTGCTTTTTGAAATTGGGGTCTGGGTAGTTAGAGTTGGTCTCATGCTTTGTGGATAACTTGAGACCAACTCAGATCGTCATTTAAATACTTCAATTTAGTAATATAAAATGTACGATCACGGTATATATTCAGCCGATAAGCTTTAAAATGAAAGAACCGTGTATATATTTTTATACTTTATTAAGAACCATTTTAATAGGTACAATAAAAATGTTATTCTAACGCATATAATCAGATAACTTTTGCGTTCAGTCTCGTCTAAAATGATTAGTTTTAAAATCTATGATTTGAGATTACATTTTGTATTAATAGAATAGTACACCGAGTCAATGTAGAAGAAGTTTTTTTCCAAAAGTATTTAAAATAACCATCAACAAATTGTTTTATTTGTTATTTTAAGTGCTAGAGAAATCATACAGGGACAGGTACTAATAGATTCCTGCCTGTGTCATATAAATTGAGAACGGCTGGATCAATTCGACTAAATATTTTCAAATATTCTTTAAAATTTTAAAATTTTTATTCTTTTAAATTTTTTTTTTCAAGGCTTTTCTCGTTAGAAGAATTCGGACGAGAAAAATTGTGCGGTTTTTGTGGAACTGCCACGGTTCAAAAGCTTTTGACAGGACGACGACACATACAGATAAGTTGACATGAATTCATCATTTGATAAATTTATAGTAGATGAATGATATGTTTATTATATGTATATGTATATTTAGTCCGCTATAAAAGCGAAACAATTTACCTAGGTACTGGTTTATGTCTACCATAATAGGGTATATGAATAAAAGAATTCACTTTTTCCATTGACTACGGTGTAATTAAAAATGTTAAATTGAGAATTGCTTACTTTAACACGAATCTTAAACATTGATCTAATAGCTATATTACATGCTGTCAACTAACGCATGCAAAGTATTTCAGATATAAATTAGATGTCAATATTATTACAAGAAAATTAAATACATACCTACTATAATAATATAATTTAATATTATATTTTCTGGTGATATTATTGACAGGGTTACATATCGTAGATTTCTGCATTTTATGATTATAATGCATATTAAGTAAACAGTGAATGAATTGTTCGTCACATAGAATGTACAAGAGCGTGTGTGCTGTGTTTTAGCATGAAAAAAAACAGTAACTTAGAATCAAATCTTCTAAATTGATTTGAACTGTAAATTATACACTATAAGATACAAAACGCCTTATTATGGGCCTTATTATAGTATGGTGCATATTATATCATAATTCTTGATGAGAATAAATATTTTTAACCAATGTGTGCCGTGCGCTCTCATTGGTCAAATCACTAACAATTACTGACAGATTTTAGTAAAGCGAGAGGAAAAATGTTACACGTCAAAAAAGGTCTACAGTGAAATTAGTCTCGAGAAATTTTTGCATATGTAGTGGTGTATATATTACTCAGATCTTAGAGCGCGTTTCCACTATATCGTTCTGGCCTATACAAAAATGTTTCGATATCCTAACATTACTATTTAATTTTATACTTATCCCTAGCAACACTCTGATTTTTGTTTTCAATAAAAAAAAGTTTTTATTTTAAAGAAAAAGGTTTTGTTTTTATAAAAAAAAGGTGTGTGTGCGATTCACACACAATAGAAGTGAAACTTCAAAGAGGAGAGACCGATATTTAATTTTTTTTCCTTTCATCTAGGTTTTTAAAACTCCGGAGGGTCTACGGGGGGGGGGGGGGTAAAATTTTTTGTTATTTTTGGCCTAGGACGCACCGTTTCCGAGATATTTCAATCTAAAGCAAAAAATCGTCACTTGATAGTGGAAAGTGGAAACACGCACAACCATACACTACTACAAACGCAAAAATTTCTCCAAGCTAATTTACCTGTAGTTTAATTGATTTTAATGGTTTATCTGTTCGGATTCTGGTTTCTTGGTCATGTTAAGTTTCAATGTTATATTTCACGCTAAAACAATTGAAAATATTTACTTCAAAGTGCATCTTTCTCTACGTAGACAATAAAATCATAATATCTATCTTTGGTGTTACAATGAACGCTCGATGTTCAAATAAAAACAAATCTACAGAAATCGCAGCGGAGAAATAAAAGAAAAAGATTTAATTTACCATTATACATATGCCCAATAATGTAAACTACCTTCAGAGAGTTGACCTCTAAGTTTCTATTAATGATAAAAATGTGGAAGTGTAGCTACACAGAATCCCAGTTCTTACACACATAAATAAGTTTACGCACACTATTTAATACATATTCACGTGTCTAATATTACGTTTCTATTGAAGTACAAAGAAAGGATACTTTTAAATCATGGTTTTCTTTTCATTGAATTTTTGGTTAGTGGCGACGAATGCTGTTTGTTGAACCTTCTGTGCCACTATCAAACCTGGATTTTCGGGTTATAATATTACCGTTATCTAAACAGATAGTTACTACCGGCATTGTGATACTGTTTTCATAATATCACGAATCTTGTTCAAAAGATAGAAATATTAAAACGGTATGTTTATAGCTGTTATTCAAGTTTGTAATTTCTGTGTAACTTTGCAATTTTTTTTGTACATGTTTTTTTGGTTAGTTAGTTAGTTATTTTGGTACATGTTTTTATACTATTGTTCACAGATGTTTTCAACAAGCAGCATTAAAGGTGATTAGATGTTTAGGCGGGTGTTTTTGTTCTAAAATATATGCGGTAAAAATACAATAAATTCGGAGAGGAATATAGATTGATGAGGAGTTAGTGGAGTTACAGCTTCTTGTACCAAAACAGATAGTGTTCGCCGTCTTCTACTAACAAATCGTCGACACCTGTAAAACAAAACATATAGTAGGTAAGTTACCCTTTGATACAAAATACAATTAACATGGTGACTGCGAGATTGGCATTTTCCAGTAAGAGCATAACTACCACGGAAACAAGTCTTATTGTATAAAAAAGGTTTTTTTTAATCATTTTACAGCACCACTGAACACGCAGTCGTTTCTGGTGCTCCGTTAAGTCATGTGGTCATTAAGTCAGTAGTGCAAAGCTTCCGAACCTTCTGATGCACATTCAAAATGTTTTGCACTTGGCTCATTCCAATGCCTAACAAAGCACGAATTTGATGACAAGTTATTTTTTTGTCACTTTCAATTAGTTGTCCTACGGTGTCAATATTAAAGTCTGTAATCGCAGTCGCCGAGAGTCGCAGTCGAGATAATCACGTTCACGTTTAAATTCTGCAAACCACGAATACATGGTGCTTCATCACCAAATGCCAATTGAAGTCTCTGGGAACTCTCTTGTTGACTTAAGCCACAACGAAAATCATTGAAAGAAAATATCCACGAGTTCAATTCATTTTGATAGCGACACACAATTTTCAAAAGGACGTCACAATGAAAAAACAAATGACAGTCTCGCAAATTAAAAAGTAACATGTTCCCAAAGAGTTCCATTTTCTAATTTTATGGATTTTTTTTATTATTTTATTGTAAGTGGCCAGATCCAGAAACTTTCAGTATGCCCACGTACTAGGCGTTATTGAATTTTTCTAGATAGATCATTATCGGCCTTTTTTTAGGGCTTCCACAACCCGTAGCCATTACCACAGATGTTCGTATTTGATTCGATTCGTTCGGCAACCGGGACCAACGGCTTCACGTGTTCTCCGAGATACGGAGGAATTTCAATGTGTTAAGAATTGTCAACCATCCATAGACTGAACTGGCTAGGGTTACTTAGCTTTGCAATGTGCTAACGTGTTTTTTTTTTCCTCAGCTAACAAACAATATCAGCTCTACTTACCAACAGGAGCGACGAGTTGGTTGCCAGGGGGGCTGGCGGGGTCAGGTATCTCAGGAAGACGGTACAGCAGCCAGTAATGGTAGCCCATAGGCTCCTCTTTGTGACCCGCTAGTGTATGGACGTAGTGACCGTTAGGCCACTCGCTGGCTTCAAACTTGAACTTGGGGTTGTGCTCCGCAGCCATTTGCATCACGTGGTAGAAAGATACGTTCCTTTAGAAATATAAAACTAAATGTATCGAGTGTAGGTGTAGGTATACAAATTGTCCAATTGTGGCAATTGTAACTCTATGTGTCATCGGTTTTCATTCAAGGTACTTAACTGTTCCGATAAAGTATTATATTTAGACAAACAAGAAACGACAATTGCCATCATACAGTCTGTATACAGTACCAACATAGGGCAGTAAAAAAATTTAGTTTTATTGTTTCAGTTTCAGTTTCAGCGTCCGTGTACTGACGGATTAAGAATACGGAATGTCACTACCCCAATTCATCCCGTGGGTGTCGTAAGAGCCGACTAAGGGCGCAAAACAACGCAGGTCACCAGCACTGCAAAAAGAAGGAAAACTTGACACAAACTCTATACCAACCCGTCTGGCCAGCGTGGTATAGTGGGCCAAAACCTCCTTTTTAGGGAGAGGCCTATGTCCAGCAGTTTGGTTTGGCAGCAGCAGGCAGGTTTGTTTCGAGTTTTCCTTCTTTTTGCAGTTTGTTCCCTTAGTCGTCTCTTACGACACCCACGGGATGAATTGGGGTAGTGACATTCCGTATTCTTAATCCGTCACCACACGGATGAAGAGTTTTTAATAGTTCAGTGCGAGCAAATCTCAACGCTGAACGTGGTCAACGTGACGATCGACGTGATGTGATATAAACTAACTCTGGGCCCTCAGATTAAGAATAATGGCAGCCGTTACCTAGGGGCCACCATGTGCAGCGTGTAGTTGTCAGTGACATTGGTGCCAAGCCACAGGGTGTAGGTGAACGATACGTTGCGAGCTTCAGAATCGTTGCTTGTGCTGCCTGACTGGTAGGCCAGCTTAAGGGTACCGTCACCACCGTTGCTATCTGAAATATATGAAGAAGGAATTTGCAGTAGCGTATAATAGCGTAACTTTAAACATTAATTTCATAAAGTGACAAAACTGTTCCACTTTATTTATTGACGCCACTCCGCATTGTCGTAAATAGGGTTTTACAACAATTTAAAAAAAGTATTAAATTAATCGGACAACTGACACACAACACCATCTAGTTTCACACTAAGCAATGGATTGACTAATAGAATACTTTTTTTTTTCTAAAATATACATATGATACATAGAAAACATCCTAACTTAGAAACAAATATTAGCAGATCATACTCGTACAAATATTTGGTCTGACCCGGGAATTGCATCCGAGACCTCAGCACCACTGCACCACCGAGGCAGTCAAGTAGATTGCAGAGTGCTAATAAACCACTAAAAAACACCAAATTTTTTATTCAATCGATCAGTGCCATAAAAATACGTTTAAATTTAACATTTTTAAATTTTGCCTGTAATTTGACGGAAAGGAGTGGATGCCATATTGCTCTGCGGTCATGACGTTAGTTGGCTGTGTTAGCAAATGCAATCAGTTGACAGTTGACACTGACTCTTTTTAGTTTACACAGCCGTATGACGTAATGTGGCTGCTAATATTTTATGATGTTAAAAAATTGATGAACAAACAAAATCTGTAAACTTTTATTTGTGTTTTAAAATTTATTTGTTTTATTATGAAAAGTAAAAATTTCCATATCTCAATCATATATTTTTAGATTTTTTCTCATATAGTATTTGGTAGTGTACTTGACATTTGATATGTTGACTTACCGAAAGGCTCATGTCGACTGTCTAAAAGCTTATCACTGCAATGCGGGGGTCTGACGACAGCCAAAGAAGCAGGTGTGAGTGCTGCAACCGCAGCAGCAGTCTTTGCCACATCGCCCCAACCGCCATCTGCGTTCTGCCTCTCCAGAAGCCATTTGCGAGCTGCAGGGAAGCTCCAATGTTGATGCGCACCGGGACCGCTGTCTGAGTCTTCCAGAGCCTGACGATTCAGAAAGCGGGATATTCTTAGGAGCCATCTCATATTTATTTGTAAAGCTATTTGAGACACCGACACAAATTTACAGACCTGGATAGCTAACGCAGTAGTGGTAAGACTGCCGAAGCTGCCGTCAGTGTGCTGTTGGCGAGCCAGCCCAGCCATGGGTCGTCGTACGAAGTGAATGAGGCTGCGGTGCCGGTGGTCTTGGACCACGCATCTCAGTGCTAGGATAACCATTGAGATAGTGTCTGGAAGTTGACAATTAGTAGTAATGATTATCCTGATACTGCATCATTATTTACATATTTTATAGGACATTTGTAAAATAATTATGCTTATAAAACAGTTCAATGCAGACGTTATTAATTAATCAGTAACTTCTATTTATATAGGCAATATACACAAACTAGGGAAAATATTATGTAGCGATCTTGCAACACAAAGGAGATATCGTCCAACCAACTAACTATAACGTATAATGCTATGATTAAATTCTGTACTGTGAACTGATAAATTGTCAAGACGAGATCTTTGAAGTACACACAATGATTGTTAGATTTGTGTGCCGCGATTATAATACTACACACATTTAACTTCACGGTGGCTGTTGAAACAAAGATTTTACAAATGAAAATAAATGTTCTTGAACACATTACCAAGACTATGATCAGAGGCTGCATTTGCAATATCCAAGAGCCTCCTGATATGGCGGCGTCGTACGTGGGCAGCTGAAGAACACGCTGCGAGAGTAGCGTACGCAAATTCAAGATCGTGCGGTGGTTCCCGATGAAGTAACGCCGCTACCAGATCTCGTCCGTGGAATGATCGAGGATCCTTGCAGAGAGCGCCCAAGGCCAGCGTGTAGGCAGCAAGGCGGCCCAATGGAGGAGGAGACTCGTGGTGCCTGGTTTGGAAATTTTGATTTCAGAATAGATTAGAGTAGAGTAGAGTAAAGTAGAGAAGAGTAGAATAGAATAATCTTTATTGTACACCATTTCAGAACATTATACATACAATAGTATTCTAAGTTAATGACAAATGGCGGAATGCTTTATATTAAAGCTTGTTCATTGTGTGAACAATTTTATCGCGTTAGAGGTTATGATAAAATCGTTTTAAACTGATGCAGTTTTTTATGGAATAAGGAGCAAAGTAGGTCACCTGATGGTAAGTGATAATTGCTGCCCACGGAAACTTGTAACTCAAGAGTAAATAGTGAGTTGTGTACGCTTTGTGTGCCCCTCGTTCCACAATTAGGGGTAGAGAGTGGTATGACGCCGGTTACCGGACACAAGGAAAGAAACAAAGAAGTCTGTCTGTCTGTCTGTCTAAGTGTAATTTTAATGTAATATGTATGTATTTAGAAATATATAAGTATGTTTATCGGCAGTCTGGTTACCATAGCACAGGCTCTGCCTATTTTGGAACCGCCGTGTGTGAAATGTTATAAATAGGACAAAATTAGAATTCTGCGACAGTCAATTGTCTTTTATTGCTTATCTAGCTGCGCTCCATAGGGTTGCTGGCAATTTATCAGATACACTGAAACACGCATTATTTAACCGGTGCGTCTCATCATCATCATCATCATCATGATGATGATGATGATGATGAGACGCACCAGTATACACTGAAACACGCATTATTTAACCGGTGCGTCTCATCATCATCATCATCATCATGATGATGATGATGATGATGAGACGCACCGGTTAAAATTATTTAACCGGTGCGTCTGGTCTTTCAATATTAGTGTGATTCCTACCTTATTCCATGAGAAAACTACTAAAATATTTTTTCGGGATAAAAAGTAAGTAATGTGTAATCCTGGGTGTCTACATACTAATATAACGTGGTACATTCATTCCAAATTTTATCAAAATTGGTCAAGCCAGCAGCTGATAAACATACAAACACAAAAAAACCTTTCGTCTTTTTTTTTAAAGAACTCTCGCATTATGATCATATCCTGTGTCGCGGAGGACTTTACAAACATAGATAAAACGGACACAAAGAACACCTAGACTCAGAACAACAATTTGTGGGTCACACAAAGTGTCGTCCCATGTGGGGATCGGACCCACAACACTCAGTGCAGCAGTAAGCCGCCTAGGGACCGCTTAAACCACCACGCCATCCGTGCAGTCAAATATAGTTAAAAAGTCTTTGTAATATTAATGTGATAATTTTCATTGCTTTCCTAACGAATGAGTGAGGTTACCAGAGGACCAACCCCTCCTCTAATTCTTGAGGGTGAGCATACAATGGGTGCCAATGCACTTGTATCACGCCCGTTAGCGGCGGTAGTCACCTACCACCAGGGGATCCGTCTGCTCTTTTGCCGACTATTACATGAGAAAAAATTATTAAGCAGTCCTTATGCGTGTGGTACTCACTTGGACATCATGAGCAGAATCTCGATCTCCATCTGTTTAGCTGACAGTTGCATTTCTAACTCCTGTTGTTCTATCTCCTTTCCAGTGTTGTTTGCCAACTGGAATAAAAATTAATATATAGGTATTATTTAAAATTGATGGGCTTCCTGGTCTAGTGGTTGGTGACCCTGACTGCTAAACCAGAGGTCGTGGGTTTGATTCCCACACAGATCAAATAATTGTATGATGAGCACGATCATTTGTTCTGTGTCTGGGTGTATTTTATCTATGATATGTATGTATTATGTTTATCAGCAGTCTGATTACCATAGCACAGGCTCTGCTTAGTTTGGGATTAGACGGCCGTGTGTCATTATCAAGCTATTATATTATCATGCGGCATTCTCTATCGTGAGAGTGCTGCGAGGAATTGTTCGGACTAATACCAGCGGCAACTTTCCGCCATAGTTATATAGTTACCGCAGATAGTTTACGCTCAACTACTCTGCGCTTTTCGAGACACTTTTTACCCCAGACAACCTATCTGTGGAATGGGTTATCGTCTGCGGTATTTCTGGAGCGATACGACCTTCAAACCTTCCAGAAAAGAGACTCCTGAGTTGCGGACGTTCATGGGCGGCGATGGTTACTTTCCATCAGGTGACCCGTCTGCTCGTCTACCCTTTCTTTCTTTGGCATCTTAAAAGTCCAATCATAGTACCTGTAGAGTCAGCATAACATGGTGGGTGTCGTTTCCCCATCCCCAGTCAGACTGGCGGTGCTGAAGCAGGTATTGTAACGCCTTCTGTATGGCTTGCCCTTCGTTCAGCGTCTCCGTCTCCCAAGCTGTAGTCGTGGAAGTAACGACGGTGGTTGTCGGTGGTGATTTGGTGGTGGCAGTTGTTGGTGGTTCTGTTTCTGGAAATAAGAGACAAAATATTATATATCTGTTTCGTACTGTGCATAGTAATATGTAAGCAAGGATACATAAGTTTTAAAAAGGGTTAGTTACATTGATGTCAGACGCAGTCACAAATGAACCGCATCTATTTTAATTAATTATATCTAATATACATTTTAATTATCATGTTTAAGCCGTCATTCGTGATGTAATGGTTTAAGAATACCATTATTCATTCCATGGGTATCGCAAGAGCCGACTAAGAGAGCAAACTACGCAGGAAAACAGCCCTGCAAAGACTTCTCTTTGCAGGGCTGCTGCAGCTGCTGACCTGCGTAACTACGCAACAACTGAAACAACTTGGAACAAAACTCTATACCAACTTGTCTGGTCAGCGTCTTATAGTAGGCCAAAATCTCCTTTCTAACTAGAGGCCCTTGGCTGGCAGTGGACTATTAAAGGCTGTTGATGTGATGATGGCATCAAGGCTTCATCCAGTAAGGATGCCTACCCTTTCCCTGCCCCTTAATTCAGGACGGAGGCGCCAAAAGGGTGGCAACAGTATTAAAAAAAGAACTAAGAAAACTTAAGTAGGCGGCGGTAGCCTAGTGGTTAAGGCATTGGACTTGCGATCAAGAGGTCGTAGGCTCGAATCGTGACCAGTACACTACCGACGTGAACCCACTCCTAATACAAGCAATTTAGCTTAGCTGGAGGGGTTAACGGGAATACTAGTAATTTCGGTTGCTAGTAAGAATTAAAAAAAAAAAAAAACTATGCTGCATTGTTTTGGTAACAGAAGATAATGTGTCGTATAGACAGTTTGAAAGCTTTAAATGTCTGACTGTTTTTTTATATTTGTTCATCAACAGCCTTTAATAGTCCACTGCTGGACATAAGCCTCTCCTTAGAAAGGAGGTTTTGACCTACTATACCACGCTGGCCAGACGGGTTGGTATAGGGTTTGTGTCAAGTTCTCCTTCTCTCTGCAGTGTTGTTGTTCTGCATAGTTTTTTCCCTTAGTTGACTCTTACAACACCCACGGGATGAATAGCTAATACCTATAATATTAGTATGGATGTGTCATTATCATCAGCAACAGTCTTTAATAGTCAACAGCTGGACATAGGCCTCTCCTTAGACAGCTATACCACGCTGGCCAGACGGGTTGGTATAGGGTTCGTGTCTTCTCTTTGCAGTGCTGTTGTCTTGAGTAGTTTGCTCAATTAGTCGGCTCTTACGACACCCACGGGATGAATAGGGGTGGTGACAATCTGTATTCTTAATCCGTCACAACACGCTGGCGTTAGTTATGAATACGAAAAGGTACTTTCGAAGGTATCACTTACCAGTTTGGCAGTAGACAGCTGCAATGATGCTTAGAGCACATATAGTCTTTAAGTACCACTGGATCATGGTGAAGATCTGCAACAAAAGGTACATCGTTGTTAGTCAAATTAAAATATTGCGTTGTCTACAGCTTTTATTACAGGAATTTCGAGATGTCCTCGAATGTGAAGGAGTTAGGTTATCTATATATTTATACAAATAATTACAATTAAAATGTTAATATGATAATAAATGCTTTTTTTACCAAATACCTCTGCATATTTACAAGATACCAAAAATCAATTTATAATATATTTGTCAGTGTGGTTGTCTCTTAAGATTAAGCTCCGGAATAGGTAGACCGATTTCTATGGAAATTACACTGGAAGATGGCTAAGAAGTAAGTTTCACTGATCAAATGCATGTGCATAAAGAATTGAAATAGAAAAAAAAACAGTTAGATATAGGAATAGAGGCCCACATAAAAATAGAGAAGTTTTACTAAAAGACTAAAGAAAATTGTTAAGCGAATATATTGTGTTATTTCAGTTCACATGTTGCTTTTAACACAAATACAGGGAATGGAGTTAAACAGTAGTACGTTGAACTTTAATAGAACGACATCGTCGATAGCTAAAATAATATTTATACAGACGAGGTAGTAGGAGGAACAGAAAGCGCCTGAATAAATAAAATTTACGGGAAATCGAGTTAAGAATATCTAGGTACTAGGGTATGATAAAACGTTTGGAGGTGTAAACGCTGGGGCGTTGGTGAAGGCTGTCAGTAAATTTATATTGTCGTGGAACGTTTTAAGAATAAATGTAGGGTGAGAAATCTGGACGATTCCAGAATATATATACTTATATACTAAATATAAATTGAGGTACTGTGTTTTCTTCTGTCTTTAATTTTTTGTCCTTTTCTTTCTATCAAATTTTATTGAATCTTGTTTACATAGCTTCCTTTTATTCTTATAACAGGATATTCTAAAAATGTAACTAAACTAATTATACTACACTTTTGAATATAATTTTATTTAATCATGTTTACAAATGCCTGGATACCCGACTTCGGTATTTATTCTTGTGACGCCGCCATCTTCTTCATACCTGAACACAGGCGTGCCGACAGAGCCAAAAGTTATGCCTTATGTTATGCAAAACGGTCCTGTATGACGAATAGCCCAGCAGCCTTACCTGAATTTACTTGTAATTCAAATCAACAAACAGGTAACCCTTATTGAGTTGCCGACCTTACTTTACTGCTCAGCTTTAGATCGGTTATGGCATATCATGATCTGCCTAGGCATATTTCGATTAGCCTAATGTAACGATCGGTCTGCAACATTGATGATATCATGTATTTTATTTATTAAAAGAAAGTAGATTAAATTGTGTTAGACCATAGTCTGTAAAGGACCAGAACTTCATAAAGTCCTAATAGGTCAGGACCGGTTGCGAAATACAGAATTCTGAAGCTAATTTTATCAGGATTTGTCTCATTTTGTCTCACAAGAAATGTATACTTTAGATATATTTTTTTAATTTAAAAAGACAACGCCCGCATTAGAAATATACATTCCTGTGCCGCGGGGGACTACAAATATACATGAAACGGACATAAAGAACACTCAGACTCAGAACAACAATTTGTGGATCACACAAGGTGTCTTCTCATGTGAGGCTTGAACCCACAACACTCGGCGTAGTAGGATACGGCGTGGCGACCACTTAAACCACTACGCCATCCGTGCAGTCTTACTCAGATTACTCCAGAAATACCGAAAATATACCAGATATTATTGGAACTTGTTTACTCTGTGCAAAGGTTCCCTTGAAAATGTCCGCTCGGGCTGAAGTTTGAGGTCCGTCACGCCCCAGGGAAATCGTGAAGGCAAATAAGTTCGACTCTTTTTATTACTACTAGTAATATGTACCAGACGTATTGCTTCGATATATAACGTTAAGGAACCATAACAGTCGTATTTAAAAAATACCAAACTATTTTCAATTTGACTAGCTCAATAAATTCATATAGTCAGTATGTATATAACCTATTTTAGACTACTACTTGTTTTTCAAGGGTAGAAAATTGACCCTAATTCATTAAACCATTAATATTAATATCGCTTAACGATAGTGAAAAAAGACACCAAAACTCTTTAGTGGCTAATCTAATCAAAACAGAAAACAATCTATTATATATAACAAACAATGCCTAAATTCTTAGAACACGTATTTAATCATAATGACAATCACTAAACATATCAACATTTATTAAATTAACTTTAGACCAGTCATCGTAACTAACAAATTAGCGTACTGTTTGAAATATGCACAGAGTTCACAGTCAAACAGCGACAAAACTATGCAACAGAATTCAAAATGAACAGACTCCAATGTAGTTATGAACAGACATAACAGACCGAACAATGTTCGTTACGCGCGTCAATCATTCAGCAAAACACCGACGTTGCCTTCGTATACGTAAAACAATGTGCGAATGAAAAAATCACTGGCAGCAAACGATGGTTTGTGATTTTTTTCTGTATTGGCTTACTTTCAAATATGTTTCTAGTTACAATATTTTTTTTTACGTGTACACTGTACGTTTACTGTTAGTAATTTACACGTCGTAGTAGGGACGTGTGTTAAATAATTCGTTTTTTTTATTAGAGCGTCTCTAGCCAGTATTTCTTTGTAACTTAACTTTTGAAGCTTCGTTAGGGCCGTTTTGATTTGAAAATTAGATGAAACGAAAAAGCTACTGTAAAAGAGACACACATACTCATAATAAAAAGCTATTTAAAAAAAATTTAAGGAAACACCCACGACGGTTAAAACGTAATCGAAAAGGATGAACTAATTAAAAAAACCCCGACTTAAACAAATTGTGTAACATATGTAATATCCGCCGGGGCTGCCAATAGATGAAATAAAGTTTTGCAGTTTTATAGTAACGTGAATATAATTATTGAAGATGTTTTACGACGTAATATAATGTAACACAAGATATCTTCATTTTAGTTGAAATTTGAAATAGAGATGGCAGCCCCCGACGGATATTCTTTGGTTATTCATTAAGTTTGTAGTTGAATATGTTATTTATTATTGAAACATCTAAGTATATCTTCGAGAAACAAATAGGCACGTAAGGATGTACTATAAAAAATGATACTTCATTATTTATATGACCGACTTCGCGAGGAGACAACTCTATTATAAAAAGCTTTTACGTTTATTTCTTTCTATATAATCTGGTTGTCACGGGTTTTAAAATTATTTTCCTTTTTCGATTACATTTTAACCGCCGTGGGTTTTTTCTAAAATTTTAATTTTGCTTTTTATTTCAGACTTTTTATAGAGCATGTAAATATTAGACACAAATCTGTATTTCATACTTATAATATATTTTATATACATATTGACAACTTTACTTTGCCTGGTACTTTTTTGTGTAATACCATTACGTAGAATGAAAAAGATAAGTTGTTATATTGTTAAAAACATTCAGCTGCAACTCTATATTAGTCGCCAAAGAGAAGAAAAGGTAGAGATACCGGTAGAGAAGACCACATTCGACGTCTGCTTATTCTTTTTGTATTCAATTTTATTTAGTATTTTGAAAGTTCCTACGTCATTACTCTCTACAGAAATACTTACCTATCGATTTCTATCGAGTTTATTTAATATGTAGAAACTGTCCGTGTAGTGACGGATTAAGAATACGGAATGTCACTACCCCAATTCATTCCGTGGGTGTCGTAAGAGCCGACTAAGGACGCAATACAACGCAGGACACCAGCACTGCAAAAAGAAGGAAAACTTGACACAAACCCTAAACCAACCCGTCTGGCCAGCGTGGTATAGTAGGCCAAAACCTCCTTTCTAAAGAGAGGCCTATGTACAGCAGTGGACTATTAAAGGCTGTTGATGTGATGTGATGTGAAATAATATAAAAGGTGTGTTACCTCCTGGCTAATGGAAGACCTTGTGTACAAATCAAATGAGCCCAAACTCAAAGGTTTTACTAGTAACCATTAAGGAGTTCCACTATATTCCTTTTGGCTCCATCATCAGACCCTCGCCACAATGTGTAATGAAAGGGGCTCCTAAAAACCAATCTAACGAGCCCAAACACGAAGAGTTTGCTAGTAGCCATTGAAGAGTTACAATATCCACCTCTTGGCCTCCTCATCAGACAAGCTTAAAGTTGCTAATTTATAGTATTAACCACATATAACTGCAAAGTTTCAAACTAACAGGCAACTCGAAACGACCGTGAATATTTTTATCTTTTATTGAATAAAATATTTTTCTGAAGTTTTACTTCTGCTGTGTGTGAACTGTGAATTGCACATAACACTTTTTATGTTGCCTTTTTTTCACTTTTTTTTATTTTGGCAGTTACTCACAAAAACGTCATTTTTCCTCTCTGTATCCAAAAAAGCAAAACTAAAATAAAAATGATTGAATTGAATGATTGATGTTTAGTTGTTTTTTTTTTCAATTTGCTTCAAATTTATTTAATCTGCGTAATTCAATTAGTCGTCTTTAGAATTTAAGAAGTAACTGATTAAATAAGGAAATTACTAACCAAAATCTATCATGGAGAAAATACATTGACAAATTTTACCATACATTACATACATTAATACTTAGTATGTAGTGCACCTAGTCAGTCATTTCCCCACCACCCAAAGGTGTTGGGACAAAATGCCTCTGGCGTTAAGGCGGCCATTGTATAAAGTATAAAAAAAATGTACCTGGGGGTGCTGTGTAACATATTTAATTACGTTTAAAAAACACGTTTTATCTCGGCTTTTGGGTACGAAGGTCTCCTAATCGGATTACAGTCGTTTTTGCGTGAATTTCTAATAAACGTTAATGACCTGACTAGAGTTTTGTGGTGAAAATGTACTCGTTCAGTTTACATTTTGTAATTGCTTTTACGGTGGAAATCAATAAACAATCTTGTGGAGAATTCAAATATCTTAAGGATAGTCGTTTGATATAACCTAGTTTGATGAACCTATGTCTTTTTTACACCATGGCAGGCAGGGCCAGCCACCTTTGTTATGGTAC